CCCCACCGCCAGAGTCGGATGTTCTTGAGTCCAATTTGTCATAAACTTGAGACAGGGCAGAAAGAAAGAAGGGACACGGGTAGTTCAAAGAAATCTTAACACTCTTTGGTCTATGTATAGGGAATGGTTTCTCCTTTAGAGCTTGATGCCTCATTTTCACTTTTTTCTTCCCTGTACCTATTATTTGCTGAGTAAATCCTTTCCACTCACATTTAGGCCTAACCCTTTTTTGGCAGATTATTTAAGAAGGATGGATCTGTCAGAACTTGGAGAAGCTGCAGCCTTCCTCAGAAGAAGCGAGACTGATCTGCTTCGGCTACAGGCCATGGCCTTTGATGGTAAGACTCGTGGTGGCTGCTGGCTTCGCTTTATTTCACTACTTCAAGGTGGCATGTGAGATATTTGATTGGTTGAGAGAAGGCATCAGTTCTGGAGCCTAACTTATTTGCCTGGGTGTGATCAGCCTCTATGAACCTCTGACTCTGAGCAATTGAGCAACTCTGAGTGTTCAGGTAGGAATGGAAGAACACAGGGAGGAGGAAGATGGCTGGGAGGCAGTCTAGGCTCTGGCCCTATTTCCGTGGCCCTAAGACAGGTTTTCTCTTCCAGGAGCCACTGTTATGATACAGACTACACTCCCCATGCCCCAAGGGTGGCCACAGATAAGGCCTTTCCCAGAACCCTCTTATCAGAAAATACCATAGTAGAGAGAGGGACCGAGACTTAGGCTGGAGGTGGGGGTCTGTATCCTGTAAGGAAGAAGAAAGGAAAAGACTCTGGGAGGGCTGGAGAAATTGAAATTATCTCCAGCCCTCTTCACAATTTCCTAATGTTGGAACTTTGCCCTCTGGCGGTCTTCTAGGGCAGCAGGGTCGCTCAGCCAGCATTCAACAAAAGATAATTGGGAGGCTTGCTAACCCAGATTCATAATTTCTTGGTAGTTACAGGCAAGGACAAAGGTTAATTAGGATTTAGTCTTTAAAAAAAGGGCTAAGTTCTACATTAAATCTCTAAATAAATGTTACTTTTTTTCCCCTTCTTCCTTTACATGTCTGGGCTGCATGGCCATCTTCTGGATTTCAGCTAATTGGAGAATTAGAAGTCAGATTCACAGTATGACCTAGCGTCAAGCCACCTACATGTCTTAATTCCTGAATTATTCAACAGTGCAGCATAAAAATTGAATGTTGTTCAAATACTCAGAATTTGTCAACATTAGATTTTAATATGACTAATTATAATTCAATCCAGTTATGTAGGATATCATACTCTATCACAGACCAGTCCTGGATCAGTTCCCAGTTTCCAGTCATTGGATTTCATTACTGAGATTGGATTTTAGAGTAGCTAATTATAATCCATCAAATCAAATACAATAACAGAACCATCCCTGAGGTCAGAATTGGTCATGCAGAGGCTTATCACAGGTAGTTAGATAAGCGAGGACAAGATAAGAGTGGTGCAGGGCCAAAGCATGAGAGATAATTGGATGACACATTTAGTAGAATTAGCACTGTAAATAATTACTTAAAACATAGCAATCTGCATAATTTTTAATTACATTTTTTTAGGCTAAACCATTCTTCCTCATAGAAATGCACTGGCAGCAAAAGAGAAAAGGACCAGCCAAAGGTGTTCCTCCTCCCAGGCTAGTAGACAATGGAGTTTGCATTTTTGAATTCAGGTCAAATGAAAGCAGTGAGATAATGAGTATTTGGCAAGTAGTCTTGGGTTCAAATTCCCTAACCAAGACCAACTCTGGAGGTGTAATTCGAGCAAATCACTTCAAGTTACTGAGCCTGCCGAATGGGGATAATGATACTAATACTCACTCTGTCTTCTTTCCTGCATTGCTCTGAGGACCAAGTGGGACTATAAATATGAAAAACAAACACAGTATTACCTGGGAAAGAAAACTAGAATCGCTGGGTGTCGAGGAGGAAGCCCAGGTGTTTTTAGAGATAAAGACGAATCACCTTTCCAAAGCTGAATGTAAATTATTTTTATATTAAAACAGGTAAGCAATCTATTAAAAATAACTATAAAGCTGAATATAACTCCAATTTTCATCAATATCATAGAAAGAAGACTCAAAAGAAATGTTTCAAATAGATAACAGTGGTTATCTCTGAGTTGTTTATGGGTGATTAAAAAATATTTTTTTCATGTATTTCTCTACTTTTGGAGTTTTCTCCGATACATACATGTTATCTTAATGTTGGAAAATATATTTAATCATCTAAAGATATGAAATCTTTACCTACTTTACAAATGGAAAAACTAAGTCCTAAAGAGATGAGGTGACTGCTTTATATCTCGTTACTAGCAAAGTCAGTCCTACAGCCCAGGCTGCCTGACTCAAATCCATTGCTGTCCGCAGTGCCGGCTCTGCATTATTCACGGACACAAGGAATTAAAAGTTGACTGAGTTCATTGACTTTGCCTTTAAAAACTTCCCTGTCAGAGAGTGGGCCTCAGATAAGAAAGGGTGTCTGAAAAGTCTTACCCCCGCTAAGTGTTTCCAGGGGTGGTGAAAGAAGGGGCCCCACGGAAGCAGGTGGTGGGCCTGCTCCTTGCGGGAAGAATGGGAGGGAAAAGCTAAGCGTATGCTGGAGGAAGCATGTGGTCATGGAGGAGCACTGATTAGGAGGAGGCTGATCTCATTTCCAAAGTCATTATTCTAACGACTGCTACTAATTAGCTATGTGACTATGGGCAACTCTTCATCTCTCTTTCCAGGGAGAGGGACAAGGACAGAGAGAGGGGAAGAGAGAGAGATACTGTGCCAGGTGATCTTCAAGTTTCTTTCAAGCGATAACATTTGGTTTAAAATGCAGAGCATTTACCTTAAACATACCCAGAAAATGTATGCTAAATGGGTGCTTTTCAAAAGCATATTTTCATAGACGTAACACAAAGCAAAATCAGTTTTTGCAAGAAGAGACCAAAATAATAAATACAATGCGAAGCCTGTATTTAAAACACAAACGACAAGTAGAAAGTAAATGCACAATCAGTTAGATGGGAATATAAAATTCCCTTGCCAAGCAGTTTTAGTACCGAATTGTTTGTAATCAGGGAAATGGAGAAGGCAGCACATTGTAGATTGTGATAGCAAGAAAATAGTGAATGACGAAATTCTTTGCAGAAATAAGTATGGTGGAAGAAGGGGCGGATGGTGCCCATTTTTGTCTCCTTTGTACACACTCCTTCCCCAGGCCTATTGGCCACCTCTAGGGAAAGAACCTAGTGAGGGGCCACCTGTCCTGCAGCAGTGAGGCCTCTCTTGCCTTTGTGATTCATATACCAGAGGTGGTGGTGGTGACTGAGTTTGCATTACCAGTTAGTGCTGTGGTTGCAGGGGGGTTTTTACCTGTGTCTCCCCTGGGAATGGACTAGGATTTTTCCCTCTTCCAGCCAAATGCTCTCCCCTTACCCTTCCCTCTATCTACCTAAAGAGCTGTGACCTGGGGACTTCTGTGAGCTTCTGCTAAGACTCATTTTTCTTTAATAGTATATTTCCTATTCATCGTCACTGGCTGCCTGCCTTAGGTGGGAGAGAACTTGAGAAGTATTTAAGTGAGACTGAGAGAAACTGCCTTAAGTGTTCATAAGAGTTCTGGCTCATTCCACCCAAAACATTCTTATTGTTTAATCATTTTGTGGAGGGCTGCTTTGCTTAGGGATGGGACATGGGGGTGAAGAGGCTGAAGAGAGAAAAATAACATATGGGAGGAAATAATATAAGTCGGTTATGTTGTATGACAAAATAACCCGTATTTTCTCTCCTTAATACCCTCCTGCAATTCTACCATGGAATTCTCTTAGACTTTCATCCCAAGATTAAAAATAAGGTCTAAAGAAACCCCAAAGGACATGACCACTAGCCTAAATTGTTACTCAGTTCTCACCAGACTTGAGTGACACTCTTTGGAAGGGACCTGGGAAAGGGGTGGGATACGGGGTTGCGAGTTGAGGTAAGTGTTGATGTTGGGAGGGGATGGAGGTGACATTTGGCAGGTGTTGGTAGGTACATTTCTTGTAGCAAAATGGTTTTTGACTTCCCAAGCCTCTGCTTGCTGAGATGTTTCTTGTTCCTATAGAGTTATCATGTGGGCATATCTTCAGGGTGAGCTTTCATGATTTTATCCAACTCTGTGCACTGTCCTACATTGGTGACTCCATGTCAACAAGCAGACTGAGCAGAAACGAGGTCATATCTATCAGCATGAAAGTGCCCACATATATTTCTACAAGTACTATATTATAATCCATTTTTTTCTCTATAGGGAAGAAAAAATGTTGGGTTCGTGGTGGCAAGAGTGCTATGTGGAGGCTGAGGTAAAAGGGAAGAAAGATGATGGAACGATAATTGTTGAGACCACACATGGAAATGTAAAAGGAATATTTCATTGTGGGGATAAGTATGTTCTCTGCTTAATCAAACAATTGAATACCTCCTTTCTCTACTATTTTTATTAAAAACCTTGGGTAGGAGATGCCATTGACACACTTTGGAGTCCTTAATTCATCTTGAAGAAGCTCCTTTATTTACCATCAAAAATTTAATGAAGAACATTAAACAAATCAGAGTAAAATGATTGCCAGAAACAAAGATCATTGACTCTAGAACTCACAACAATTTCTACTTCTTTCATCAGTGTTTCCAGTTGGTATTTTTTTAAAGGTGCTCCCTCGGGTGAACAGTGACCTAAGGAGCCATGTAGCAAGCTATGTTTGTAAGATCAAGAGAGATGTATGATTTGAATAGAAATAACAGAGTGTCAGAGAAGCCAACAGATGGGGGAATGGCTAGTAATGTCAAATGTTACAGAAAATATTAAAGGCTTGGAGAAAGGCTTGGATTTCAGAATTAGAAGGTCATCCAGGACCTTTGAAAGAAAAGGTTAAGTCAAGTATTGGGGCATGAGCTGGACTGAAATGTTCACAGAGGGGATGTGTAGTGAAGATATAGCAGTGCCCAACCCTTTCTCCCTGTCATCAGGGCAGAGTGCAGGGGGATACTGAGAAGAAAGGTCACTCTCAGAACCTTTGCCTGGGCCGGGCGCGGTGGCTCACGCCTGTAATCCTAGCTCTCTGGGAGGCCGAGGCGGGCGGATTGTTTGATCTCAGGAGTTCGAAACCAGCCTGAGCAAGAGTGAGACCCCATCTCTACTAAAATTAGAAAGAAATTAATCGGACAACTAAAAATATATAGAAAAAATTAGCCGGGCATGGTGGCGCGTGCCTGTAGTCCCACCTACTCGGGAGGCTGAGGCAAGAGGATCGCTTGAGCCCAGGAGTTTGAGGTTGCTGTGAGCTAGGATGATGCCACGGCACTCCAGCCCAGGCAACACAGTGAGACTCTGTCTCAAAAAAAAAAAAAGAACCTTTGCCTGAGTCACTCACCGTGTGTCAGCTGCCAGCCCCATGGCGTGACCTGGGCCCATTTCTGCCCTGATTTGGATGAAATGTTCCTCAAAGATTTTACAGATGATCCCCTGCTGAGATTCACTTCTCTAAACTCCTTTCAATTCTGTCCCTTACCCAAACCATAACAAGCCACATCTTATAACAAAGAAGTACAGTTGGTATCAAGAACATTTATCTTTTTTGTGCTCTTATCTTTGTATTTGGACAATTTATGATCTAAAGTATTGCCATTCAAGTTGGAAAATACTGGAGGCCACTTATAAGCTACCTCTTAGGGTACCTTAATATGCTTTCCTGACAGTCAATATCTATATGTAAAAAAAAATTCCAATGAGATAGATTTTATATAACTAATAAAATTAAGGAGGGAACTTCATCCTTTTCAACAGGAACATAAACAGTAGGCAAGGGAAAATTCAGAATGTCCTAAATCGATAAACAAATGAAAGAGAGGGACTCAGTTAGGGCCATTTAGCCTTGAGACAATATTTGATTATAAGAGAGAAAGCAGGTTTGACCACCTCTTCCATTATTGTTCATGCCAACTTTTTTAAAAATAACTTTATTGAGATAAAATTTACACACCATAGAGTTTACCTCTTTAAAGTGTACAATTCCATGGTCTTTAATATAGTCAAAGAACTGTGCAACAGTTGTTATAATCTAATATTGGAATATTTTCCATCATTCCAAAAAGAAGCCTTGTGCCTATTAGCAGTCACTCCCCCTTCTTCCCACCCCCATCAACCCCAGGCAAGCAGTGTTCTGCTTTCTGTTTGTATAGATTTGTCTATTCTGGCCACTACAGACAAGTGGGATCATACAATAGGTGGCCTTTTGTGTCTGGTGTCTTTCACTTAGCTTAATGTTTTTGAGGTTCATTCACATTGTAGCGTGAATAAGTACATCATTCCTTCTTATGGCTGAATACTATTCCACTGTATGGATATATCATATGTTGTTTATCCATTCATCAGGTGATGGACATTTCAGTTGTTTATATATCCTGGCTATTATGAAAAAGGTTGCTATGAACATGCATGGGCAGGTTTTTATGTGGATGCACATTTTCATTTCTCTTGGGTGTATTTCTAGGAGTGGAGTTGCTGCGTCATATGGTAACTCTATGTTTAGCATTTTGAGGAACTGTCAACTGTTTTCCAAAGTGGCTGCACCATTTTATATTTCCATTAGCAATGTATATGGGTTACAGTTTCTCTACATCCTCACCAACACATTTTAATATCTGTCTTTTTGATTATAGCCATTCTAGTGGGGGTGAAGTGGTATTTTAATGTGATTTTTATTTGCATTTCCCTAATGACTAATGATGTTGAGCATCTTTTCATGTACTTATTGGCTATTTGTATACCTCCTTCAGAGAAATGTCTATTCAAGCTCTTTGCTCATTTTTTAATTGGGCTATTGCCTCTTCATTATTGAGTTGTAAGAGTTCTTTTTACCTTCTAGATGCAAGTTGCTTATCAGATGTATTATTTGCATGTATTTCCTTTCAGTCTGTGTGTTATCTTTTCATTTCCTTAATGGTATCCAACTCGATTTTATTAGGCCTCCAGATGTGATGCTTGCTCTTCTGAGCACATTCTGCGAAACTACTGTCTTTTCAACAGTATTTAAGGCAATTTGTGATATAATGTGGTTGCAACTATAATTTTAAAAAGAAATCACAAGAAGAAGAGTACGAAAGCCATTAATGCTTTCATTAATGGTAGAAAGAATAGAAAGTAGAAAGAGGAGTGTGAGGGTGATTTACTTTGTCCTCCTTGTCCTTCCCCCATGTAATGAAGGTCCCGTTCTCCCAGCCTCTCTCTGTAGCTCCTGGCTCCAGGCTTCCTCTTCCTCATGTTAGAAGTGACTACACTTTCAATCACCTTTGGTCTTTGTAAGATTAACAAAGGCAGTAAAGCCAGTGGGTGTAAAGTACTACTTATTGAAGAAAGTTGGTAATGAAAAAAGAGAGAAAAATAGAACCAGGGCAAAGGGGAGGTTTTTGAAGATGTAAGAGACCTGATTATGTTCTGCTTGTGTTTGAAGACAGAACAGAAGGAGTCCTTGAAATACAGAAACTGAAGGGAGTCAAAAGAAAAGGGATTTTACTGTTAGAACAATGTCAAAGAAGACTGTGGATAGGAATTGGATCAAGAATATGAAGAGTGTGAGAGCCTTGGAAGGAAGCCATCACCAACTAGGATTAAAAGGAGGCAATCAGTTGACACCAATATTTATTTGTCAAGGAAAAGGGCTATAGGAAAGGTGTTAGGAAACTTTTGAGAAGAATCCCAAGCAACTATTTTATAGTAGAAATGAATCCATATTAATCAAGATATTAATATTTACCTACCATGAGCACCTACCATGTCCCAAGCATTGTGATAGGTGGTTTAATAACTATCAAAGAAGACAATATTGACTCCTTCTCAAGGTGCTTATAATCTAGCCTGGAAATAGTCTAACACCGCAGTCCCCAGCCCTAGGGTGGCAGGGGACTGGGGTGCAGAACTCCAACACCAACCCCCCCACCCAGGAAAAATTGTCTTCCATGAAGCTTGGGATGGGGAGGCGAATAGCTGGAGGTGAGTGGCAGAGGGTGAGCAGAGCGAAGCTTCATATCCATTTACAGCTGCTGGACTTCCTATCGCGGGCATTACTGCCTGGGCTCCCCTTCCCCTGCCCCACCTCCCACCCCACTGTCTGTGGAAAAACTGTCTTCGATGAAAACAGTTCCTGGTGCCAAAAAGTTTGGGGACCACTGATCTAACACATACGCAATTATTAAAACATACACAGAAGTATTAATGTAAAGATAATATGGTGGTAAGGCTTAACAAAGGAGGAAAAAAATATAATGAGCTGAGGTGGTTGGGGAAGGTTTGAAGGAGAAGATAGGTCTTGAACTAAGTCTGGAAGGATGAGGTCCGCCAACTTGATCCTCCACTCCAAGTTTTTTCTTCTACTTCTCCAAGATATGCTGAGACATCAAGAGGGGGGGTCAGATGATACATAATATGATCCATATACTCTCAGGGGGAATCAGGGAGGAACCATGAAATTAGAGCACTGTAAGATAGAAAATCTTGGTTGAGCAAAAGCACTATTTTTAATTCATCTTCAGGGAAGGAGAGGGCTTTGGCAGGGTGAATACCTGCTTCTTCCGAGAAGGTTAGTTTAATCTCTTCTGGCCCCGCCCCTTGATGAGGCATCTTTTTTTTCTTTTTGACTCTGAATCTTCTTTCTGGTGTATGGATAAATGGATAAGCATAAGAGAAATAGGGAAATATATCTTATATTTCTGTCCTCTCTGCAGAGTCTGAATGTCAAGGAGGACAAAATCCAGCAGATGAATCCTCCAAAGTTTGAAATGATTGAAGACATGGCCATGCTGGCTCACCTCAGTGAAGCATCTATACTGCATATCTTGAAGAGGCTCTATGACCATTGGATGATCTATGTGTGTAACATGCCTTACTGCTGAATTAGCATGCTGGTACTCGTATTGGCAATGTCCCAGCCTCTCCTGGCTGATATTTTACATTGAATTTAAGCATACCCACATGGGATTGTTCTTAAGGAAGTTCTACTGGGGAGGGACCTTATCTTAGCATTTCCCCAATTTTATTTTGTCACCATTTGTGTCCCTTCTCACAGGTCACTGTGCTAAATTAAAAGCATGAGGCTTGGAGCCTGATAGACTAGTGTCCAAATGCCAGCTCTGTCACTTACTAGTTGTTAAGTTTCTTAACTTCTTAAAGTCACCTTATCTGTAAAGTGAATAATAATACCTGGCTCTCCATGGTGGCTTGGAGCATTAAATAAAAGAATGTGGGTAAAGCACATAGTTCCTGAGACCTAGTTAGTACTCAATGAATAAGATATTTTTGTCATCATCATTAAACTGGTGATTTTTAGCTGCTCAGGATTTTTGGTTTATACAAAACCTATACAGCAGAAGCAGTGCTCAGTAGAATAGGCTAAAATGTGGCATCTGGCACCCATTGCCATAGAAGTCTTGACAAACAACCAGCTTGCTACTCAGCTCTCCCATTTACCATGTGACTGTATTAGTCGCCCGGGGATGCTATAACAGCATTAACACGAACTGGGCAGCTTAAAACAACAGAAATTAATCCACTACAGTGCTAGAGTCCGGAAGTCCAAACTCAAATCAAATGGACAGGGATATATTCCCTCTGGAGGCTCTAGGGGAGAATCCTTTCTTGTCCCTTCCAGCTTCTTGTGGCTACTGGTGTGCCTGGTGGTTGCATCACTCCAGTCTCTGCCTCCATCTTCACATCATCTTCCCCTCTCTGTGTCTCTTATAAGGACACCAGTTATTGGATTGAAGGCCCACCCAGATGTCATCTTGACACCCTTAGCTTAATTATACCTGTAAAAACCCCTTTTCCAAAGGAAATCACATTTGTAGGCTCTGGAGATGAGGACATGAATGTATCTTTTTGGGAGCCACAATTTGACTACATCAGTGGCTGAGAGACCCACATGAGCTATTCCTTCTCAATGCCCTAAAAGTTAAGTTTCTAATCTTGCTGAGGCAGAGATTCTGCTCTGGCCTCAAATGCCCGATTGCTGGTTACTGAAATCCCTGCAGGCCTGCAGTTAGCGTCCTGTCTTCAGAAGCTCTGTGTGTCAGACATGTTCGTAGTTAGCAGATGTCCCACGGGAGAGGTAATCCCAAGTCTGATGTTGCTCTAACCTGGCTGTGTCTCTTTCTGTTAGAAGTCCCTTCTTTATAAGAATCCGAAAGCTCTCTTCTTTTGAGTTCCTTCATAAGTAAATATTCCAGCAAATGTTCCCTGATAGTGGAGAGCTGACAGACCTGGACATATTTCTAATCTATATTCTGAAATCTTTTCTGATCTTCCCTTAGACATATTCAGGTCTCTTCTGCGTGACCACAAACCCTTACAAATAGCTTCCAGTGTATCAGAAAGAAGTCGTGGCTGCCTACAAAGGGAAGAGGCGATCAGAGGCTCCCCCTCACATCTTTGCTGTGGCCGATAACACCTTTTAGGATATGCTTCACAGTAAGTAGCTGCGCTACAAAATGAAAAGTAAAAATATCTGATCTACTTTTTCTCTGTGTCACTAAGAGGCACTTAGGCATTGTGAGCAGAGCATGGCCTTTACAGTTATCTAATCACTTGAAGCCTCCGTTCTGTTCTGGATAAAATGTGGGCAAAATAGTACCTACCTCCTAGGGTTATTGGGCCGATTAGCTTGCACATCAAAGTGAGATAATGCATTTAAAGTGCTGGGGACAGTGGCTGGCCCAGAGTAAGCCCCCTGTGGATGGTAGCTTTTATTACATAAAGCATCTGCTGTAGTGTCTGACACAAAGACGTTATTCTATAGCTACTATTACACAATCATTCTTAAAGGCTTAAAATGGCAAAAATGTCAACCATTAGTTGGTTATCATTTGTATGTGGAGCAAGGAAATAGGCCTCCGATTTATATGTTCTTATGACTAACATACAAGGGGCAAGAGAAAATCTATCTTACTCTGTACCATTTAAATGGTACTTTTTTCCTCACTGTAAATGGAGCAAATCCTTTCCTGTGTGTCTGATTTCAAACTGCAGCCAGGGAAATTTTGAATCAGGTCATGCTAATACGTAAGCCCCTAGCAATAGAATATTCTGACATTTTTCCTTCTTTTGTAGATCAAGAGAATCAGTCTATACTCCTCACGTAAGTGTTTGCCTTGTTTTTCTTTTGGGCCTAAAGTAAGTTTCAATGGAGACAGACACTTACGTTTCACTGGGAATAAAACTTAAAGTCACTGTCTTTGAATTGTTTGCCCTTTAGATGCAGAACACATTCTAGGCAAGAATAAAATACTCGAGAGATTGTCACAATGCTTTAGTCAGTGATTACTCCAAATACGGTGTCAGCTAGTCTGCCTCCACCATTTTAACAGATTCTTTAGGAACCTCAGTGCACAAGCTGGTCTTAATCACAGAGAACATGCTGTTGTGGGCAACCAGACTGGGGAAGGCCAAGGTACATTAAGTAGTGGGAACTAAAAGATGGCGAGTCTTAGAGGGATCAGAAAAGGAGGTGAAGGTTATTATATGTTAATTCTGATGGAAAGAGTGCTGGCAGGCCGGGTGAACTGTCCGCATGGTGGCTGAGACCCAAGAAGGTATGCAGTGCTTAAGTCCTTGGCCTTCCTGTGCAGTGATGATGCCACCTTATGTGTTGGGCTCTCTATTGGCTTCAACTATCCCAAGAGGAATCATAAGGTCTCAGAACCTTAGAGATAGATGGACAATTCAAATTCGGCCCTTTGCAGAGAGGATAAGCTGTTTTTCTGGAGTTTTATATCGATAAAGGCAAGCCTCGATTCTGTGATGCTTTGGGTGATGAGCCTATAAATTCATCACTGTATTCTTCCCACATTACAAAGTTAGCTGGTTGTCAAAGGACAAGGGTGAGCCTAAAACAAGCTGCCTGGTAAAATGACTGATAGGCCTTCTTCTCAGAAGACATGGCCATGTGGTAGGATTCATGCACGAGAATCCCTTGAACAGTTGGTAATGAGGAGCAGAGGTGCTGTCCTGCTCTTTGTTAATAGGACCATGAGGAACAGGCTTTTTAATATTTATGAAAGTCCTTGATCTTTCTGAACTCCAGAGTTTTGTTCATGCTGTTTTTGCTGCCTGAGACATCCTTCCCCATCTCCCAACCAATTAAATATCCACATAATCTCAAGTGTCATCTTGAGTTTCACTTTTCTATAAAATCTTCCCTGCTTGCCTTAGCCTATATGATCAGAATCACTTGACTTTCATTGTGTTGATAATCAGAACCAGTTAACTGTGTTGCTGAATTTCAAGTCACAGGGGAGAATCTGGTGCTAGAAAGACTGTGAACACCAAACATATTTATCCAATATTTTGTTACCATGGCAGCCATGAGTGAACCTAGGAGAAAGCCGGTATGCGTTCATATATCTTGGCAGAAAAGGTGAGGTGGTGCTAACCACTGGATCATGGAGGCTCTGCCTTGACCACTTATGGGAAGTAAGGAGGCACCAAGACCCACAGAACAATTAGCAAATTATAGAAAAGTCTTTTTTCCCCATCTTTCCATCGCCTGTTGAGAGGATCATCAAATGCTCCAAACCAATAACCTGAAAACATGAATTACATAATTTGTTTCAGATTTGCTTCATGGAGCATTTACTGACCTGGTCTTTGTTAGTTGGACCCTCTGAAAATTATGCCCTCACGATCCAAACCATTTCACCTAAAGGCTAGGGTCATCAGTGCCTTGGATATTTCTGAATCCCTTTAGCTATCATGAAATGTCAGAGTACCAGAAATATGCAAAAGAAGTCTGCTTCCTTCACTCCTAACTCTTAGATCAAATCCCAAATGCCTGATGGACGTACCCTCAACTTTAATCACAATCCATGTTCAGGATAGCTTTACCTTCACTCTCTATTTGATTTTTTTTAGTCATTGGCAATTTTTAATTTAGCTTACTTTGTTTAGCTCCATTAACAGGTTAGTGGGCTTCATCATAATTTGAGGATAACTGGACCATGAAGGTTGTTGGTATGCAAAATAAAATTAAGTCATGCTGAGTGGAACTCAAAATCAATGAGTTATTGAGCTGTTAGATCTTTCATCTTACTATGTCTTACATTATTTTTCTTTTTCATTTCAATCTGGATGTTACCTGCTGTGTTTTGCAAATTAATAAATATATCAAAATAGCCATCTGGTCCAATTTTAAATAGGAAAACTTTCTTTTCCAACTACCACATTCCTGAATTTGATTGATTTCTGTAGGTCTTATTAAACTATATGACTCAGTAGATATAACTTCATTTTTGCATGCATTTTAGGGTTTTTGTTGGCATATGTTAATTGGTTTGGTCTAGCCATTGAGTCTTATGATAATATATAACACTTCTATGGAAACCTTTGCTCATATACGTATACCCTTTATCTTATTCGAAGGACAGTAGACCCATATTACTTAGAAAGGATATAATATTTATAAATTTTTAAGTTCTTGAGTACCATATACTATGTAATTCCCCCCATGTAATGGGTCTTTGAGGCTGAGTGGAAAAAACAAAGCTATGTTGCCATTTGGGTGCTAGGTGGCCATTCATGCTCATGCTGTGCGGCTGACCTGTTTTGGCCCATCAGCCTGAGCGGGCATGATTCAAATTCCAGATCAATACCATTACAAGTCACTGCTTGGTGTGAATCTTTAGATTACTTGAGAGTAGTAGCACGTAAAAATATAATTTAATAATGCCAAGAATCTGCCATGTTATCCTAGGATAGATAAATTTCCAGGTGTGAGTATTAGATGGTAAGAGAGGAAGATTAACACTGGGAATAATATATGAAATGAAGTTTGTTTGGAAATAGGCTATGATTTTTTTTGTTTGTTTGTTTATTTTGGTAAATAGCCATTTTCTTCTCTCACTCAGGCAATGCCAACCCAAAGGGAAGCATTGCAAATAAATGAGCTCCCACAAATATTCATAGGGGCATTGTATATTAAGTCAGTCTCTCTCATATATACATCTGTTTTTTTTCTGAATTCCCACTCCAAAATAAAATTTTATAACCAAATTTGGAAGCATCTTTTTTGCTACAGGTTATCAAAGCAAAAATGGGATTCAACCTGGGGAAGGAGGGCTTGCCACATTACAGAATTCTACTAAAAGCTTCATCAGCTTTACTTCTCTTGTATGTATCCCAGGGGACTTTAGAAGCTCAAATCATGCAAGTGAATTCTATCTTGGAAGCATTTGGAAATGCGAAAACCCTGAGAAATGACAACTTCTCTCGTTTTGTAAGTAACACAATTTAGCACAATATCAGAGTCTTTAGTTTTTAAGCAATGGTAAATCTCATGTTCGAGCACATAGGTATGAAAAAGATATATGGAACACCAAAGGTGGTCTTTGATTAAAGTTTATAATTTTTTAGATTACTCAGAACAATTTATCAGCTTCAACACTCAATTAAAACTACACATATAATGAATATGTGTCTAAACTGACCAAATAAGCTTCTCTTTGGTCAGTTTCAGGAAGAAAGTATTTATCTTAATAGTTTCAAATTCCTTTCTACTCCCAGTAGGGAAGCTCACTCAAAAAATTACAATAACCTTTACATTGTATTACATTTTGCAGATTTGAAATACTCTCTCCTTCATAATTTCCTATACTCCTTATAACAAGTCAATTTAGTAGGCACTTCCTAATTCACTTACCATGATTATTGTTTCTTCTCTTGCCTATGGCCTCCCTGCTCCTGCATATTTTTCACTGTAGCCTTTTTTTATTGGGAGAAAGTATTTTTAAGTAGCTTTTGATAGCTAGAAGTCCCCTGACAGAGGAAGAACTTGGATTTCAAAACCTAGTTGAACAAATCCATTTTATGCCAAGAATGAGTGGCAGGGAGCCACTATATAATTTACAAGGAAATTTGCAGACGGCTTCCTGTTTGAGTCCCTGGGCAAAACTAAATAATAGCTTTATGCTGATTTGGCTAGTTTCCATCCAAAGCCTTAGAGCTGCTCTGTCCACACTTAGATCTGCTTGAATATCTGGCCGGTCGTAGCAGCTGCAAATACTGGTCCGTGAAACAACTGCGAGATTTGGGATTTATTCGCATGCTAAGGGAATTTCTGCTGAAATATGAGAGGCAGAAAGCTGAAAAGAAATAAGGGAGAGAGGGAAGAAAGGAAGGAAGGGAGGGAATAAGGGAAGGAGGGAGAGAAAAAGAAAGTTAAAAAAAGGAAAGAAGGAAGAAAAGGAAAGAAAGTAAAAGGGAAGGAGGAAAGGAAAGTATAATAAGTAGAAAGATAAAGAAGGAAAGAATATAATTGGAAGAGAATAAAAGCAAGAAAAATGTTGGAAGGATAGAAGTAAAGAAGTAGAGAAGCTAAACAAACATAATGGTGGAAGAAAGAAGGAGGGGAGAAGGAAAAAGAGGAAAAGGGGTCCAAAAATTATGAAATCCAGGCTAAATTTATTTTCAATTAATACTATGTATGTAGCTATACGTATACCTGTGTATATCACACATATGTTTATAAGGACATATACATTTGTATATGTTTATATATACATATAAGAGTTTGTGTGTGTGATTCCCATGGTACATTTTTTACCTTCCTCGTTCGACCCCCCTGTACATAGCCAATCTCCTTCCCTTGCCAAGCTGCTGTCCTGCTCTGACACCTTCCTGGAGTGGGCCGACTCCACCGGGCTACAGTCCTCCCTGCTCCAGCATCCTCAAGCCACAAGCTCTAGCTGCCACCAGATGGCCTCCTCAGCTGCATCTGGCATTCTGACATGGGCACTGTCACCTCTGGACAGCGTCTGTGTCCCACTAGATCCTGCCTTATGGCTTTTCACTGAAAAGAAAGAAAGGGTGTCTATTTATTACTTATGCCAAGGTGTGTTTTGAAACATAGATCATATCACTCCTCTGCTTGAAACCTTCCAACGTCTTCCAAGCACACATAAAATAAAACCCTATTCTTTCCTGTGTTCTACATGGCTTACATGATGAGGTGCTTGTCCACCTCTGGGACTCCGTTTTATGCCCCTTTTTCTTTTACCTGCTAAGCTCCAGGACTACTGGCTTTTCTTGTGATTTTATGTCAGAGCTGTTTCAGTAGCCTCTTACCTACAAGTTTTAGAATAAGCTTCCCAAGGGATAGGGACCATGCCTGTTTTTCTTGAATGTTATCTCCATTGCTGAGCAGCTTTCCTGGATTATAGCAGATGCTGAATGCATGTTTGTTGAATGAACAAAATAATATAATAAGCATATATTATTTTTCTCATTTTTAGATAAGAACAAGGAGGCCCAGAGAAATGTCACAGTGCGCACAAGAATACACAGGTAGCAATTGGTAGTCTGGGGCTAGAAACTAGAACCACTGCTGGTCCTGCCAATCATTCTGGCTCCCTCCAGACATTAGCTGGTGCCATCTTATCTCAAAGCCATGTTGCATTTCTTTTCAACTGTTGGGGAAGCAGTCACTTTGAGAGTTACGTATAATGAAGCCACTGCAACTGTTTGGAAAGTTTGAATAGGAGACTGTGTTTTGTGTCCACCTAGGACAAGTTTATCAGGATGCACTTTGGTGCCAGAGGTACACTGTCATCTGCTGACATTGATATCTGTAAGTAGTCATTGCACTATCTGATCACTTTTCTTCTAAGTTTTTCAGGAACATCTAAGTATGAATCTTTATCCATTACTCATCATCCAGATTTGCTTGAAAAATCCTGAATGATTTTCCAGCAGCCTGGAGAGAGGAACTACCACATATTCTATCAGATTCTTTCTGGAAAGAAAGCACCTCATGGTAAGTGTATGATTCTGGGGCCGAGGGTTATTCCAAAACAAGAGAGAGAAGTCAGATTTCAGGGGAAGAAAAAGTACTGTTTTAGTAAGTCTCTGAGCCTCTTTAGATCTCAGTTTATTCATCCCTAAAACTTAGGAAATTAAACCCATTTTAGAAACAGAGTTCTATAATTTTCTATGGGTAGAGAGTAAATAGCAATACTTTTTTTCAATTTGATATTAAAAGGAAGCAAAGTGTTTGAAAGTGGGTAGGATGCCCAGCAGAGTTAAATGTGGGTGTACGTGTAAAAGCATTAGATAATTTAAGGCCTTAAATAAATAGTTAGAGCCATGTGGGTGGTATAGACAAGAGGCCAGAGGAGGGAAACATCACCATGGTGTGTGGTGGGCCAGGGGAGTTTTATAAAGAAGGGGGGATTCGGGTTGGGATATGAAGGATGAGAAGGGGATCTAATCAGACAGAGTAAAGAGTGGAGGGTATTTCCAGTGGGAGGAACAGTGCACACAATGTCGGAAAAGGACAAAGCAAGAGCAGGGAACAGAGACCAGGTTGACTGAAGGAAAGGGTTTGCATTCAGCAATAGCGGAGAGTTTATTCTGATGGTTGCTGAACTCAGGGAGCTGGCAGAGTGTGTGTGCTGTGTGCTGCGGGCTGGGGTGGAAGCCTGGGAGGTCAGGATTTGTTGGGGGCAGTGTTTAGGATGATTAAGGTGGTGTGACGGGCAGGATGGACTGGAGGCAGAGGTATTAGATGGAAGAGATTGCAATAGTCCCCATACGAGATGACAAGACAGTTATCTAAGATGGTGTCTGTGGGAGTTGGGGGGGGAAGAGGATAGATTCATGGAAGAATGGACAGGTCTTAGCAGTGACTGAATGTAGGAATGAGAGAGAGTGATGAGTCAAAAATACCCCCAAGTTTTGTGATTTGACTAGGATAATGGTTGTGCCATAAACAGAAATAGAAAAGTGGCGCTGGAGAATGAATTTCATGTATTCATTGAATAAATATTTATTGTAGCACTGCTATGTGTGTACCCGGCACTGCTTTTTAATCATAGGGGACAGCGTGGTGAACAAGACAAACTGCGCTCATGGGCCTACCTTCTAGTAAGGAAGACAGGCAGCAAACGAGGAAACAAAGAATACATAATGTCATTTCCTTATTGGTGATGCGGCAGCTCTATAAAGAAAAATAAAGTAGGGTGAGGGAATGGAGAGAAATGGGGTTTGGTAGGGTTGTGGGTAGTTGTATTTTAGATAAAATGGTCAGGTAATTTCTCTCTGAGAAGGCAGTATTTTTGCAGATACCTGAATGAGGGAGGGAATAAGTAGACCAAAATTTCCAGGAATACAATTCCAGGAGGAGGGAATAGCGAGTGCAAAGGCCCTGAAGCAGGAATGTATTTTGTTTGGTTTTGGAATAACAAAATGGCCATTGTGGGTGGTAGAGTGAGGAGGGTAATGGGGGGGAGGTAGCCGGGGGCCAGACCATGCAGCACCTTGCAGGCCCTGGCAGAGAGAGTTTAAATTTTATTTTAAGTACTATGGAAACTCACTGGAAAGGAAGAATGGCAAGCTGATTAGATTTCAAAGGTATGGCATTTGAGGTAAGCCACCGAGGACAACAGTGTTCCCACAGGAGTGGATGTGGGATGAGGGTGCAGATCCAGGCTAGCACATTGATGGGAACAATTCCCCCAGTCCGTCATGTTAGATGAAGTGTGGTGTAAATCTGGTGGTGTTTTGACTACTTGGTCTTCAAAGTAGTAGCTTGGGGAAAGCTCTGCAAACTAGACAATTATTTTTGTCTTAGATTAATTGGTGCTGTGGAAGTACAGCTATTCTCCTCCCGACCTTCCCCTCATGTAAACCTGAAAAAGGAATGTTTTGGTCTTCCATTGGTTAGCACGGTCAAATCTAACATTCTTGACATGCATTTTTATAATCTTCAGAGCATTTGACACATAAGGTCTTAATGTGGTTACCAGTAGCAACCATAAGATTTTTTTGGAACATAACTACTAATATAACCAGTTGAAGCCTTTGGGCTGCTGTGGAAAATTTACGCTTAACCTGAATTCATTTATCTTGAGTGTTTGGGGGCTACTGAGATAGATCGCTGTGCAAAGACTGACATCTGGTGGTCCAAACTGGGCATTGTCAGTCCACTTGTTTTTAGTACCCGTTGTCCTTTTGGAGACATTTAAAAAGATGATCTAGAACTCTTTCCATCCATGTTTGCCAAAGACAAGTTTGAGAGTATACTGAAGATTGACACAAGAGGGTGCATTTTAGCAATATGAGGATTATATCCAAATTTCCTGAAATACAAGCATTTGTCTGTACTACAAAAGAAAAAAAATCACAGCAGAGAGGCTGGCTACCCACTGAAGGAGCCGGGGAAGTGAGGTGACATGTTACTCCAAAGTCAGCCCCCGTCTAGACTCTACATGTCCATGAACACCCCTTCTCTCCTTTGCTCTCACTGAAGTCTGACTTTTGTTCTGGGCATGGCTAAGACCTACTTCCTCAGTCCCCTTGGATAGGGTTCCTTCAAAATCCTTAGTTCTTACTGTCATGGGTATAGCTTGGTCCTACCTATATCTTCCATTTTCTTCTTCTTTGACTTTTTCCCTTTATATTTATTGTACCCATTCTTGCTATTCTACTAGTGTATAAACCTAAGGAGAAGTGGTCAGTGACCAAGAGGTCCTTGCCTCTTAAGATCTTTGACATTTTGCTTTGTACCAAAATATGTGACAATCATGCATAGTGAAGAGACAACCTATGGGATGACTGGGAGAGAATATTTGCAAGGTGTATATCTGATAAGGGGTTAATATCCAAAATATATAAGGAACTCAAACAACTCAATAGCAAGAAAACAAATAACCTGATTAAAAAATGGGTAAAGGACCTGATAAAAATTTCTCAAAAAATTTATACGAATGACCAACAGGTCTGTGAGAAAAGGCTTAACATCAATAATCATCAGGGAAATGCAAACCAAAACGCCATACCTTGTTAGGATTGCTGTTATCAGAAAGACAAGAGATAACAATTGTTGGCAAGGATGTGGAGAAAAGAGAACCCTTGCACACTGCCTTGGTGTGAATATAAATTAGTATAGCCATTATGGAAAGCAATTTGGAGGTTCCTCAAAAAATTAAAAATAGAACTACCATATGATCTAGTACTCTCACTACTGGGAATATATCCAAAGGAAATGAAGTTAGTATCTTAAAGAGACATCTCATAATAATAAACATTTCATGTTTATTACAGCATTATTCACAATTGCCAAGATATGGAAACAACCAAAGTGTCTATCAAGGATGAATGGATAAGAAAATGTGATATATATACACAAGGGAATATTACTCAGACTTAAAAACAAGAAAATCCTGTCATTCGTAACAACATGAATGAACCTCATGCTAAGGACATCATGCTAAGTGAAATAAGCCAGGCACAGAAAGACAAATATCACGTGATTTCACTCATATGTGAAATCTAAAAAAGTTGAATAAATTCAGAAGATCTATTATACAACATGGTAATTATAGTTAATAACAAGGTATTGTATACTTGATATTGCTAAGAGAGCAGACTTTAAATATTCTCACCATAAAAAAAGTATGTGAGGTAATGGATACATTAATTAGCCGGATTGAGCCATTCTACAATGATGTACACATATAGCTAAACATCATGTTGTACACCATAAATATATGTTATTTTTATTTGTGAATTAGATAAATAAGAATCATTTAAAAAACCAATAAATACTTTTAAAATTTTATGCATACTTGTATTAAAAATACACATATTATATTTTCCTTCTGCTTGATTTATTTTGGGCTAGCCCAATTTCTTTTTATTTTTTAAGTTTTATAAGACAGCTTTGTTGAAGTGTTATTGGCCTAAAATGAACTTCATGTGTTTGAAGTGTACAATTGGTAAGTGTTGACATGTTTATATGTGTGGAACCATCACCACAATCAAGATAATACATGTATTCATTCAAAAGTGTCCTCAAGATCCTTTATAATCCCCCTCTCTGCCCCTTCTCACTCATTGGAACCCTCCCCTCCCGAGCCCATCCCTGGGGAACCGGTAATACGCTTTCTGTCACTGTAGATTAGATTGCATTTTCTAGAATTTTATAAGACAGAATCATACAGTATATATTCTTTTTATCTGGCTTAGTTCACCTGGCATAATTATTTTGAGATTTTTCCATGTTGCAGCCTGTGTATTCACGGCTCATTCCTTTGTTTGCTGAATAACAATCCACTGTCTGGATATACAACAGTTTGTTAACCCATTCAGTGCCTGATGGCTATTTGGCTTGTTCCAAATGAAGCTGCTATGAACATTCATGTAGCCCAATTTCTTTGTTTCGGAGATTTGGGGTTCAGGATAACAGATTTTCACTTCATTGAGCAATAAACAGAAAAATAAGACCAGCTCAAAAACAACAAAAAAAACCAAAAGACCTCCTTGGGAGCAAGCGTTGGGCAGTGAGAGGTTAATGTGATTCTGCCAAGTCAGTTGATGATGTGCCGCTGACAGCCTACAGTTATGTTTCCTGACTAAGTGAATTATGTCAGGAGTCTCAGATGTATCAGAGTGTGGTGTTGAACACAGAGCTGATTTACGGATCCCTTGAAAGACAGATCAGCCTCCTAATAGTGAGGACATGAAGTGACAGGGTTACCCTGCTAATGTTCCCTGGGTGGTGACCCCAAGACCTGGCTACTTCCTAGCCTTTGAAGCTCACTTCTATTCTACTGATAAGTTTACAAAATACTTTTGTCCTCTGGCCCTCAGCCATAAATCTAGGCCAAATTTCTGTTTTCAAAGTTTTGCCAACACATATTATCTGTATTTTTTCACACCAATTCAAGCTGCCGCAATTGAATCTGCTTTTGGATTTGGCCAGCCTGATCTTCTCTTGGGAGGCATCAACACATGACTGACAAGTTAATAGAGGGCAAAAATTGATTGCAGAGGTTTGGGTCTAGAATATGGATTTGATTTTGCTTGTTTACAAGTACGCTATAAACTGTAAGGGTAAACTGTGAATACTGGTCAATTATTTTCTAATGCCTTGCGGATTTCTTTAAGCTGTTTATGGATGGTTTTCCCATTGTAGACATGCTCCTGGTATCTGCAAATCCCTCTGATTTTCACTTTTGCTCCTGTGGAGTAGTCACTGTGGAAAGCCTGGATAATGCTGAAGAATTGCCACAGAAGTAAGACTTGTCAATTGTCAAAGCAAAGTCTGGCAATGACGATGAGAAATGGAAGAAAGTATCTTCCAGCTCCATTCTTCTTAAGGGACTTGGAGACGTGGCCTTGCTTCTCCTGAGGGTGGAGGGCTGCTTCTGTCCAAAGTTCACTAACTTATTGTAAAAGCGTGCATAGTTAGTATAGTAACTTTGGAACATATGGAAACATAGAAAGGTATTTCAACTCAATGGCAAACTTTTTAAAATTTAGTGTATATATCTTTTTCTCATTATTTGTTGTTTGTATATATTCATGAGGGTGCAAGGGCAATTTTTTTACATTGATATATTGCATTTGTGGTGAAGTCAGGGCCTTCAGCACATACATCACTGAAGCAACACACACTGTACCCTATTTGGGGAATATCTTTACGGTCTCTATTCTGTTTTTATCTATTTTATCTATTGTTTTTATCTACTGTTTTTATCTATTATCTATTTTATCTATTTCTGTTTTTGTCTATTTTATCTGTTTTTATCTATTGTCATTTTAGTGGGGTTTTTTTTTGTTTGTTTTCGCAAAAGATTGTAATCGTACTGTATATACTTTTTGGTATGTAGAGTTTATTCTTTCAATTTAATCTTACAAGCATTTCAAGTGTCATTACAGACTCCTCATAAACATTTAAGTGGATACTTAAGATTTTATCAGGCATTTGTCCTGTTGTTTATTGAGCTATTCTACTAGTGGGAGACTCGAGTTTTTGTCCCCCTCTCCCCAACTGTGGTGAATATCTTTGTAGGTAAACACTTCAATTCACCTTATGCTGTATTTCTAGAAATAAAAATACTAGATCAGGATTATAAATTTTTTATTGGCACATGTTCTAAGTTAACCACCAGGGAGATTGTACCAATTTTTGCCCTTCTGGAGTGTATGAGAATACCCATCTTACCGCGTGCAGTGACTTCTTAGGATGCGATTCTATGGTGACATGGCTTTTCTTAACACTTATTTTTGCCCGTCTTTGAAATGTGTCTCCTCTGGAATAAAGTCAGGAGAACATAAGGGATTACAGAAATAAGCAACCTAGCAGATATGGTGCTTTCTGTCATAACCATGAAAGGCAAAATAATTGACCTCACGTAGCTAGTTAGTGATCTGTTGCTGGAAGGGAGAAGAGAAGGACAGGGCATTGAAGCAAAGTTCTGAAACTACTAGAAACTAAACAAGCTGAATCTTTTGCCTTCCTAATTCTCTTTTAAAGGGATGAGCAGACTGTGGGTGACCAAATGCCAACAGGGCCGATTTGCATTGCTTTGAACAGAGCTGTCTGTCTCATTCCCTGTAGCCATAGCCTGAGGTGTGACAGGCAACAGGGGGCTCAGGAAGGGAGTGCTGTGTATGAGGTGCTTGGCGCAGCCATTAGGCAAATGAAGACACAGCCATCTGTTTCTCTTTTTGCAGCAAGCCTTGGACATCTTGGGCTTTCTTCCTGATGAGAAGTATGGATGCTGTAAACTCACTGGAGCCATCATGCGCTTCGGAAACATGAAATTTAAACAGAAACCTGGAGAAGAGCAACTGGAAGCAGATGGTATGGAAAGTAAGAATTACTTTGAAGACATGGCACATATTTCTCTTCAAATCCCTGACCCCAGGCCTGGTCCCCTTTTTCTTGCAGTTGAACTCACCTCTTGGTTTTTGGAAAATGCTGAAATTAATCAATACCATCTCCCTTGATTGCCATTCCTCAAAATTATTCTCTCAACCACTGTTCTGATGTAGAATCCTCCTATCACAGAGTAAGAAGCGTTCCTCAATTAATCATTGATGACCCAGTGAATTTGCTAAACTTGGGTGAAATAGGATTGACTAAGACATAGTCTGCCTTTAGCATGTAGACTTTTGAGAAAACCAGAGGAAGGAGCAAATTACCGTAAAATGTATTAAATGACACAACAGAGGTATGAAGGAAGGCCCCTGGAATTCCAATGAGGTAACTAACTCCATAGGGGTGAGACCACAAGCTTTCATTTCCCCTTGTTTTTTATTCACATTTTAAAAATCTGCAGTCTTGCCTGCTCACCAAAAAGACTTGAGGCATCGTACTATGAATGATCTGTCAAGAATGATCATTAAAATAGAAAACCACAGTTATGAAAGGAAGGAAGCATAGTTATTATAATTATTACAGTCAAAGTTCTTTGCAACTCAAACAAAAAGAGAATATCCGTTTATCTAAATCTTTCAACAAATAACTTTTTAAAATTTTGGTAAAATATGCATAACATAAAATTTACCATTTCAGCCATTTTTAAGTGCATAGTTCAGTGGCATTACATACATTCACATCGTTGTGGAAACATCACTGCTATCCATCTCTAGAACTTTTTCATCATCCCAAATTGAAACTCTGTACCCATTAAATAAAAATTCCCTGTTACCTCCTCCCCCTAGTCCCTGGCAATCACTTTTCTACTTTTTAACTCTATGAATTTAACTACTCTAGGTGCCTTGTGTAAGTGTCATCATAGAATGTTTGTCCTTTCGAGTCTGACGTCTTTCACTTATCATAATGTCTTCGAGGTTCGTCCATGTTGTAGCATGTGTCAGAATTTCATTCTTTTCTAAGGCTGAATAATATTCCATTGTGTGTATATACCATGTTTATCCATTCATCAGTTGATGGACACTTAGATTGCTTGCCTTTTTTTCTTTTGTAAATAATGCTGCTGTGAATGTTGGTATAGAAATATCTGTTTGAGTTCCTGCTTTCAATTCTTTTCAGTTCCCAGAAGTGGAATTGCTGGATTAAATGGTAATTCTGTTATATTTTTAAGGAACCGCCATACTGTTTTCCACAGCGGCTGCGACATTTTACATTCTCACCAGCAATGCACAAGGGTTCCAATCTCTTTACAGCCATGCCAACACTTGTTCTTTTCTTTTTTTTTTTGTTTTTGGTTTTTATAATAGCCATTTTAATGGGTATAAAGTGGTATCTCACTGTGGTTTTGATTTGCATTTCCCTAATGATTAGGGATGTTGAACATCTTTTCATGTGCTTAATGGCTATTTGTATATCTTCCTTTGAGAAATGTCTATTCGAGTCCTTTGCCCATTTTTTAATTGGGCTGTTTGATTTTTTGTTGTTCAACAAATAATTTTTGAGGCCAGTCTGTGCCAGGGATTATTCTTGGTGCTGGGGATACATCTGTGAACAAGGTATCATCCCTGTCTTGTCCAGTGTGGGAGACAGACAATAAATACATAAACAAATATGTATCAAGTCATAATAAAAAGGAAATAAAGCAGAGTAAAAGAATAAAGAGTGCCAGGAGACATGGGTTGTTATAGATAGGGTGGACAGGAAGCCCCTCAAAGAAGACGACACTTGAGCACGGATGTGAATGAAGTAAGGGAATGTGATGTGAAGCTCGTGTAAACATCCTATATATTAACATATTAATATTTGCTTTTATAGCATCTTATTTTGTTGTTTTTTTCATTGTTTTCTTGGTTTTTCCCACACTTCGAAACAAAGCTTTTTGAAGAATTGTTTTTATTACAAAAACAAGACATACTTATTAATAAATGAGAAAACACAGATGAACAAATAAAGTATATAATCTCATCCAATCTCCCTATTGGTTTATTCTCAGGTTCTTTGCTAGAGTATCCTCATCTTCCTTACTTCTAACTGCTATAGGGCTGCAGGGCTCAACCCTTGAATCTTTTCTCTTCTCTTTCCATACTCGTTTCCTCAGTGACCATCTCAAAGTCAACATATATAGAACCAAACTCTTTATCCCACCCTGCCCTTGCTATCAACTCCTCATTCTCAGTCTCCTTAATAAATGTCAACTGGATTCTCCCAGTTGCCCTGATTCAAATCTTGGAATCATCCTGAACTCCTCTCTTTTTCATTGTCTCTCCCTTTTAAAAATACACAAAATCTCACAATTTATGACCATGACCACGTCCTCTGCCACTACCTAGCCTGAGCCACCATTTCTTGCCAGACTACTGAAATAGCCTCCCTACTCCCTGCCTGCTCCCTTGCCTGTGACAGAGAGTTCTGCCCATAGGCACCGGTGTCAACCCTTTCTCTGTAAGTCAGCCCATGTCCCTCCTCTGCTCTAAACTCAACAATGACTCCCACTGTACTCCCAATAAAACCCCGAGTCCCTGTCATAGCCTACTTGCTCTCTATGGTACCTCCCTAAATTCCCCTCTAATCCCAGCTCCTACCAAGTCCTCTTCTACTCTCCTCCACTCAGCCCCTCTGGCCTCTTGGTTATTTTCCCCGAGCATGTGAGACTCCTGTTGCAGGACTTTCTCACTAACTCATCTTTCTGCCTAGAACTGTTTTCTTAGATGCCCTAACTGTTTACTCTCCACTTTATTAAGGTGACTTCTCAGATGTTATCTTATCAGAGAAGCCTTCTCTAACCACCCCACCTCTATCCTCTTACCCTGATTATCTTTCTTCATGTCACTCATACCCTATTTTTTTTTTTTTTTTTTTTTTTGAGACAGAGTCTCACTCTGTTGCCCGGGCTAGAGTGCCGTGGCGTCAGCCTAGCTCACAGCAACCTCAAACTCCTGGGCTCAAGCGATCCTACTGCCTCAGCCTCCTGAGTAGCTGGGACTACAGGCATGTGCCACCATGCCCGGCTAATTTTTTTCTATATATTTTTAGTTGTCCAGATAATTTCTTTTTTTTTTTTTTTTTTTTTTAGTAGAGACGGGATCTCACTCTTGCTCAGGCTGGTTTCGAACTCCTGAGCTCAAACAATCCACCCGCCTCGGCCTCCCAGAGTGCTAGGATTACAGGCGTGAGCCACCGCGCCCGGCTATACTCTATTTTTTTTATTGATTTTCCTACCCAACCCCTTCTAATCTCTGCCAGACATAAATTCCATAAGAACAGGGATTTGGTGTGTTCACTGCTCTATTTCCAGGTTTTAAAACATGCCTGGTGCATGGCAGTGGATAGTTATTTGTTAAATTAATTCTACCCACTTGGAGACAACCACTATTAATGCCACAGGACATATCTTTCATGTATTTTTCTAGCTGAATATGCACATGTAACTTTTTTTAAAATTAAAAATGATCATACACTTCATACTAGATTTTTTCACTAAATTGTATGTGAACATCTTTCACCTTTTCCGTAATATCCTTTTAGATGGCTTTGAAGTATTACAGTGTATGGATATACCATAATTAATTTAAATATCTTATTGGGTATTTAATTTACTTCTAGATTTTTGCTATTATGAACAAGGTTTTGGTGAATATCATTATAGATTCAAAGATTATATATATTATTTTCTTAGGATAAAGTTCCAGAAGTAAATTTATTTCTCAAATTGCTCCATGATTTACCATTTATATTCCCATCAGCCTATATGAGTATGGTCTCACTCTCCTCACCAATATTGGCAGTTATTTTTCTGTTGTCAATTAGCCAGCTTTTCTTTTATACTTACATATTAAGTTAACTTTTGGAATGTTATTATCTATTTGTATTATTTCTTTCTTGAGTTTTCGAGGATGCTTCTATCTTTGGCCCATTTTAAAAATTGAGGTGCTGGATTTTTTCTTGATTTCTAAGTATTCTTGATATGTTAAGCTTTGGTAACTCTTTTCTAGTTAGGAAGAAATGGTAGGAGCTGGACAGGTGGAGAAAAGGCTGGAAATGGGAGGGGGACCCAAACCTAAGGGGACATCCCAGCCCTTCCCTCTTTCTTCAGTTCCAACCCCACATTTCTAAGTCTCTACTGCACATGCTTCAGGATCCTAAATTCTGCTCAGCTAAAACCCAGTGCATCATCTTGTCCCCCAAGTGATGTCTTGCTATCGGCTTTTCTATTCATTCTTGTGATACTGCCCTTCTCTCTACTTCTTAGATTGGAAACTTAGTCATGTTTCCCCATCTCTCTCTTTCCCTCTCCCACTACCAGTTTAGAGATTCAGCATTTCGCGCTTTGGCGTCCTGCAATGAGTTCACTCTGTCTGTACTTTTAAAGACTTTCCGCTCTGGTCTGTCTTGCACATTTCCAAAATTCATCATTCTAAAGCCTGACTCTAATTACGATGTTTCTCTGCTTAAAGTCCCTTTGGCATTTCCCCGTTACTTGACTAATACTATAGTGGCATCAGATGTCTTCTGTGAGCAGAAATCACCCATTTTTCCCAGTTTATCACTCACTCACTCCCTGACTTCACAGTCCCATCCATCTGGGTTTTAACCTCAGAAGTTCTTGTTCTCCCACATTTGCCTGTCAAAATCCTTCTCATCTTTCAAGCCTCAGACCAAATGTTGCTTGTTTTTTGAAATCTTCCCTGCTCATGCAGTCCAGAAGGGTTTTCTCCCTGTTTCACACTTTCATGATACTTGATTTCTGTGTCTTTTATGCAGTTGTTTTACTGAAATGCTATTTTTGCTTGTGTTTTATTTACCCTTATGGATTATAATCTCTTGATGACAGAGATTTTTGTCTGGTTTATCTGTCTTCTTACTACAGCATCTAGCACCAGGCCTTGCTCATAGCAAGTGCTCAGTAAATTTTGTTCAGTAAATTAATGAAATGTGAACAGCTTAGGAATTGTATTGTAACCTTCCATGAAAGACTTAACTTAATGTCATACATATCATAATCCTCATGGATTGACAACACTGGATTGTTCCTTTCTTTTATAACTGATTGTTTACAGAGGGACTGAACTGGGATAGGATTGTGAAGTTGGAAGAGATTGCCTGTTGAATTTCTCTACCTCCTTACCTTCTCAGGTGAAGCCATATTTTGTTCTTTCCATCTTCTTGACTTCAAAATATACTTATCAAACCTGGCTACCATTCTCTAGATGGTAGTTTGCAAACTTGGCTGCCCACTCGAATCTCTTGGGGAACTTTTAGATTTCTGAAGCTCACCCAAACCAAAGAAAACAGATTTCCAGGGGTGGGATGTAGGCATCAGTATTTATTTTTATAACTTGCCAGGTGACCTGCAAGTGCAGTCAAGGTTGAGAACCACTGTAATAAGGACTTTGTTCTCAAACTTTTACATGCTTTAAAATCACCTGAGTAACATTGTAAAACTAGAGAGGCCCAGACCCTAACCTATGTCAGCAAGCCTAGACCTTTAGACCTTCATTAGCTCTCCATGCTTTCTGATACACACCAACACTGGAGAACCACTGCTCTAGCTAAATGTTACCTCTCCTGGGTAGGACCATGCAGTCTTATTAAAATCCATGGATTCATTCACAAGGTCCTGAGGGAATTGATGCTTATTAGTGGGAATTTCATGAAACCTCTTTGGGGACATGATTAAAATGTGTTTATAGACATTGCTATGTTTACAATAGTAGTTCCTGAATTTCAAATGGGCATTTATTCATAGATTTACACTGTTTTCACCTTGGTTGTAAAACTCTAAATGTTTAGTGCAAAGGAAATTATTTTTTGAAGCATGATGGCTACTATTGTTTTCTGCCCAAAAGACAAACAAACAAAAAACCAGAAATATGCTATATATAGTGTCAACACAGTGGGATCAATCCAAAGCATACCAGTTCTGTCTGCAGATACTCAGCTATCGCTGGAGTGGGTGAGAAATTCTGTAACATTGGATTTTATTTCTGTTAAAGCTTAAGGTGGGATACTGTAGAGAGACTTTGGGTTTCCTTAGTTCATGGATAAAAATAGGCTCAAAGGATTGTCCTTAATACTGGAAAAAGAATGTATGAAGGCTCTCGGTGTGGGAAACTATTCTTTGAGACTATTATTACCTGCATCATCCCTCTAAATGCTTCCAAAGCTTTGAAAACCAAACTCTTGTCCTTTTTGTTTTTGTTTTAAACCTCGAAGACACTGTGAATTGTTTGTTTTTCATGTTGTTGGTCATTGTATGGTTCCACTCAGATTGACAGGCAGGTTGCATTTCTCCCTTTCTTTTAAATATTTTCACATTGAAATTAGATGCTCTCTAAAATCTCTTCCAGTTCAAAAGATCTGTGATTCTGACCCAACAAACACTCAATTTGAAATATCAGGCTTTTGTCTCCAAACATGGCACTTTTAGCAGGAATATCTCAGCATAAAATGGGGATGTCTACTCTACCTTTGAATTTCCAATTATTTTCCCAAACAGGCTTTGCATTTTGAAACATTTCATAGCAACCGAGTGCCCAGGCCATTGTCACTGCAAATAAACTAACATGAAGTAGGTACGTAGCTTGTAGAAATGTGTGTATAATTTATACTGATTTTAATTAATAAGCAAATAAAACATTTTAAGCTTTTTAAACCTCTGAAAATGTTAAAGGCTACAAAAAGGAAATTGATAATTGCTAATACATATAGCTCTCTAATTATGTTTGTTTTTACTTTATTTCCTGTTTGTGGCTCTTGCTCAGGAAATTTTTTACTTTTTTTTTTTAGTGAAGTAAAGAAAGACTGCATTACTTTCTATGATAAGACATTATTCTACAGAATGACTATGTCAGATATACTAGCATGTCTCAGGATTCATTTAAAATGGAAGACATAGCAGAGAGGTTTCAGATGAGCGGAATATTCATTTTGTCTGATAACTGAAATAATCTACAATTTGAAATATGCTTACAACGTTTTGCCTGTGGCATTCTTTTGTGCTGTTGCCATTTTTCAACACCCGATGTGATACATGCCTATTTACTTTTCCTTCTAATGCACTTAATCCTCTCTGCTTCTTTCGTTAGAAAATGGAAGTTTGGGTTTATAAAAACTACAATTTTGCAGGGTGTAAGGGTTCTTGTTGGACACCAGAGGGCACTATGGAGTAAACAGAAACTTCCCAAGGACAGGGAGGATTTTGGTAACTGGGCAAGCGTCCTGGCTTCTGCTTATTGGTGGTTGTCTTGAGTTATCAAAATACATGACCCAAATCCCTGTTTCATTGGGAAACTCTACAAGTATATACACAGAAGGGGAAAGCAGACAAATAGTAAAAATGGGATTTTCCATGTCCTTCAGACAGATAAATTGTTCTTTTTAGAAGAGGGCCAGTATCAAGATAGCAATACTTTAAAAAAATTGAGATATAATTCATATATCATAAAACTCACCCTTTTAAAGTATATAGTTCAGTGGGTTTTAGTATATTCTCATGGTTGTACAACCATCACCACTACCTAGTTCCAGAACATTACCCCAAAAAGGAACCCTATAGCCAACAGTAGTCACTTCCCATTACCTCTCCTGCCCAGTCCCTGGCAAACACAAATCTCCTTTCTGTAGCTATGGATTTGCCTGTTCTGGAAAGTTCATATAAATGGAATCCTACAACGTGTGGCCTTTTGTGTCTGATTTCTTTCACTGAGCATAATGTTTTCAAGTTTTGGCCATGTTGAAGCACATATCAATACTTCATTTTTTTTTTTAAATTTCAGAATATTACAGGGGTACAAATGCTTTGGTTACATAAATTGCCTCTCCACCGCCTGAGTCAGAGCTGTACCGCACCCATTTCAATACTTCATTTTTAAAAAATGGCTGAGTAATATCCCATTGTACGAATATACCACATTCTGCCCATTCATCAGTTGATGGACATTTTTTTCCACTTTTTGACGGTTATGAATAATGCTTCTAGGAACATTTGTGTACAATTTTTTGTGTGAATATATGTTTTCAATTCTCTTGGGTATACACCTAGAGTGGAATTGCTGGGTCCTATGGTCACTCTACGTTGAACTTCTGAGTAACTGCTGAACTGTTTTCTGTGGTGGCTGCACCATTTTGTATCCCCGCCAGCAATGCATGAGGGGTTCCAATTTCTCTACATTCTGGCCAACACTTGCTATTGTCCATCTTTTTGATTACAGCCATGCTAGTGGGTGTGAAGTGGCATTTCAATGTACTTTTGATTTGCATGTCTAAGAAATAGATTCCTTTAAACATTTAGGATTCAAGCATTTATTTCAAAACTATAATCAGCTTCCTACATTGATCTAAACATATCATCTTTCTGTCCACTGGGTAGTTTATTTGGTTATAAGAAAATGAATTTTAACAAAGTTTTTCTTCCTCCTTCACTTTTTCCCTCCCTGCCTTCTTCTTGTCTTCCTTTCTTATAACCAGGTGCTGACAAAGCTGCTTTCCTTATGGGTGTTAACTCCTGTGAGTTGGTGAAGGGCTTGATCCACCCTAGAATCAAAGTTGGTAATGAATATGTTACCAGAGGTCAAAATTTAGAATAGGTTAAGATGATATTACAAGAGCAATATCATTTTATGGTCTTGTAATAATTATACACATATTGTATGTTTTTCAACTACTGAGAATGTCTGTAATAAGAACTTCTATAAAAAAAGCAAAAAAGAGCTACCATGATGAGTATTCCAAATGGTTTTACTTATGATGCACACTACAGTAAATGCTTTTGTGTTAAGAGTCTGTCTTGTCTGAAATATACATTTTGACAGTTTTCCCTTAGGAAACAAGTCTCTGCAGATGCAGGCACATCCTTCACCTCTTATGATCAACATCTTTGTTGTCCAGCTAAGAAGTTTTCAAAGCTGTTGGTTCCTGACATGACTAAAATTGGTAAATTGGCATCCCTCACCTACTTGGCATATTGACTTCTTTAGTGTAACAGATGCATGGCAATGCCCTAGTTGAGAAAGGGTTTGAGAACATATACTGAAATTAGTATTTGAAGGGAGAGGTTACTGAGAACAGAAATGAGAGATGGAAGGTCATGTAGGTTTTATTTAGTATCCAGGAAATGTTATCATGATAGAATAACAAGTGCTCTGAGGACTGCTGATCTTGAGGCGTTGCCTTAATGCAGTAAATATCATCAGGGCTGCTGGGTAATGAGACCACCCAAGTATGCTAGTACATTTCATCTGTAATGTGTATTAGTCAGTATGAGATAGGCTGTGCTGCAGTAATGCATACACACTAAAGTCTCAGGGACAACAAAGTATTTATTTCATACATCAAGCCCAATACAGAGTGTACAGCCTTCTTCCATTCTGTAGTTATGCCATCCTGGACAAAGTTGCTGCACAAGGGGAAAAGGTAAATTGTGGAGAGAATATACCCACCTTTAACTGCTTGAGGCTAGAAGGGATATCACTGTCACTAATATTCCATTGGTGAGAATTAGTCAGATTACCCCCTTAGCTCCAGGGGGCTGAGAAATATACCTTTCAGGAAAGAGGAAAAGGTGCGGTGAAGAGATCGTCTTGTCTCTGTCATACATAATATGTATAAAGCACTCACAGGTGTTATCCCCTTCCATTCTTACAACAATACTCAGAGATAAATAGGACAGAAATACTGAATATTTGTTTTTCCAGTTGAGGAAACCGAGGCTAAGGGGAAAAAACTAGCATTCCAATGAACATGTAGCTAGTATTCAGATGTTTTATTCTACATACATCCTAAATCTGAAAAAGAGACAAATGTACAAATTTGTGATAGAAGACAGTCATTTTGACTGGAATTCACTTTGTTTCCCTTGGTATATTAAGGTATCTGATGTGTCTATGTTATTTAAATCACTTAAATGACAAATCAAAATGAATTTTTACTTTAGCTTACTCTATAAACCAGTAATTCTACCTCTACCATAATACTAAATATACTATATTAAAATAATCTGCTTACATTTTTGTCTTCCCTGGTAGCCTAACCTCTTGGAGGACATGGACTTTGTCTAATTCATCTTAGTATTCCCCGTGTCTAGCACAGTGCCCTGCAAGCAGTGGGTGCTTCACAAATGTTAAAATAGACTAAATTGAGCTGAGCTTGAATCATGATCAGCGGGACAAGTAATTGAGCTATTTCTTGGCAGTGGGGTTAGAGTTGTTTGGCAATTTCATGCTTTCTTAGACATTCGCAACAACATGCACGTATGACATACTGTGATTGTAGAACAGTGTCTTTCTCTGTATAAGACTATTGATCCCAAGTAGCTAGAATAGTGGATTTTGAATGTTCCCAACACAAAGAAATGATAAATGTTTGAGGTAATGAATATGCTGATTACCCTGATTTGATCATTACATATTGCATACATATATGGAAGTATCACACTATACCCCATAAATATGTGTGATTATTATGTACATAATAATTTTTAATTATTAAAAATTATAATAAAAGCAAAAAATAAAAATAAGCCCATAGGAGAACTAAAATCAAACCTTTGCCTTTTTAATATTATGTTCGAAGGGACTGAGTTACCACTTCAGCCTTTACTATAATAGAACCAGTGAAGCAAGCTAATATATTATTATTCAACATAGAAAAAACCCTCGTTCTCCCTCTTGCTCTCTCCTGGAGACAGAGTAAGAAAGCACACTGTAAAGCTTTTCTTTTCTTAGGAATTTTACTGACTTTATAGAGACAATTGCCACTGCTAAGAATAGAGATGTGTATGCTCTGTTGATGACAATTGCAAAAGATAGGAAAAATTCTTGCAATGTTAACACTTTATACAAAATTTAGTTCTAGTTCTAATGCTGACTAACTCTGATACCTTGGTCAATTATCTTCATCTCTCTGAGCCCCCAGTGAAATGGTTTAACAGCTTTGTGTTTCTAGATAGAGGAGCGATTGGTTTCTGAGATGGGACAGTTCCTCATGGTTGGGAATGTCCTGCACTCTGTAGATGTTTGGCACTTCTGGCCCCCAGGTACTAAATGCCAGTAGCATTCTTAGTCATTATGACAACCAGAAAAATGCCATCTGCATTTCCAAATGCACTCCTCCTTTGGGGGAAGGTATCATCCCAACTCGAGAAACACCATACATGATTATCAAGAACTAAGGTTCTTGAGGTCTAGTATTTTATGATTCTACAAAATACAGTTCTAACTATGTCTATTAGAAATAAGTCATTTTAATTTTAAGAAGATTAATAATGATGACAAAACAATAATAATATCCACTGAGTACTTCCTAAATGTGCTGTGCTACATGCTTGTAAGGATTATCCCATTCAATCTACTAATGAACCTGCAAAGTAGATCTTATTAATATTCCAATTTACAGCTAAAGACAGTGACCCTTAGAAAGATTAACCGTTCAAGGCGACACAGCTAGTAAATACTGGGGTGAGGATGAGGAAGTGATAAAGGTAGGGAGGGGCTGGGAAAGGGGGAGCTAGCATTTATTGGATACTAAGTGTCAAACGTTGTGCTATGTAAGTTTATTACATCCTCTGTCTCATTGAACCTCTCACAACCCTGAGGTATGCATATTTTATTACTGTTATTTTACAGATGAGAAAGGCAGGGATCAATGTAGTTACACATTTGACTATTTGACTGCTTCTTTTTTTGTTGTTTGTTTGTTTTTCTGCTGTTGTTTTCTTTCATGTACTATTGCCCCCCAGTAATCAAAGGCTTCCATGAGGTTATTTTTAACAGAGCTAAAAAATGGGTCCAATTAGACCCTCAAAAGTGGAAGTATAGGTTTAGCTGCCTCATCTCTTCTTCATTGGACAGGAAATGATGAAAATGATTAATTAGCGAGCAGTAAATGAGTCCATTGGATTCATTAATTCCTTCAGCAGACATTGCACCACTAATTTCTCTCCCTTTGCCCACATCTCCAGGCTTTCTTCCTGTGTTTCTTCACCACTCCCCACATCTGACCAAAGAGTTTCTCTCCCATCCCCACTTATCAAGTATTTAGGGAATTAAAAGGGGTGAACAAGTTAGTCATGTTCTTTTTAAAGTTTCAAAGTGACTGCTGTAGACAGGGAGAGATTTCCTCGGTGTTACGGAGGATGAAAATCTTTCTTGATGCCTTATTTGTACGTGTGTGCTCTTGACGCTGATGATAAAAAACTGTGATGCCATCGGCTTATGGATTACTGTGGAAATGACTCAAGATAACTGATCAGAGAGTGGGTGACTCATAGCTAAATCACCACCAGACACCAACTGGCTCCTGCTGCGTGCTCTCTCCTGGGATGAGAAGGATGGATGTGATAGGCCTATTTTAAATGTTAAGTGGTTGGAGCACATTCTGTCTCCAGGCTTGGAGAATGTCCAGCTGAAATTCACTCCTACTTGGAGTATGTCAGAAACCTGCTACTACGGCAGTGAGTTTGCATTATGGAAGCAGGATCTGCATTTGTATAGCATCATCCAGGCACAAAGGTTGGAGCTCTCCCCAGTAGGTTACTTTAGAGCCTTTGCCACACCCCTCCAGGGAGGGGAAATGTAGCTTCAGTTTTAGAGTAGGAGAATCTGAGTCAGAATGATGCACCAGATGGCCATTCTGTGTCCAGGTTGTTGAGAGCAACACTGGAAACTAATATAGGGTTGGAAGATGGGGCTAGAAAGGTCCTTCAAAAGCATTATTCAGATGAAGATGCTGCATCCAAAAGAGATTAGGTTACTTGCCAAAGGTTATATAATTTATTAGCAGCAACAGCAGTGGCAGAACAAGGGCTAGGGAGTACAGATTCCTGATCTACCATACCAGTCTTTTAAAACTTCATCGTGCATAGTGTTAACAAATTATTCTGACACTTGTTAAAATGGTAAGGAAGACTTTATTCAGGACTCCTGCAATAGGGGTATTGCAATAGTGGAAATGTTTGGGGCTCAACTCTGAATACAACAAGGATAAATGGGGATTTATAGTTGAAGGGCAGAGGGACGGGATCACTGGATGAAAAATTACTCAGAGAAGACATCAAGGCTGAGGGGATTCTTGCTAAAGACAGGCCAAGAACTTACACACCAAAGGTGGGGGATGAGGAACTTAATCAGATGTCAAGGGTGGGGGATTGTCACTAAAGTGACTTACAGAATTCTTACTGCAACTAGGCTAGGCAGGCTGAAGACAGGACAGGTAGGGGCTAGGCAGGACCGCAAAGGAGACTGACTAAAGTCTGGTCAAGGACAGAGTCTTTGTCAATAAGAATTAGCTGGGGATTGTGTTAGAGTAAGATTCTGATTCAGCAGGTCTGGGGCTGGGCAGGAGAGTTTGCATCTTTAATAAGCTCCTGGGTGCTGCTGCTGCTGGTCTTTGGCCCACTCTTAGAAATAGCAAAGCTTTAGAACACATTGCTACACCACACACCAGGGTATCTAGTTCTTTAGTAATAGGAACATGATTTCTCCTAAGTTTTTGGTAGGGGGGCACCAGGCTAGCTTGCTCCTTTCTCCTACCCTTCTCCTTTCCTCCTTTTCCCCTCCTTTCCTTGCTTCTTTCTTCCTTTTCTCTCATTGTATTCGGCAGAATGCTGGAACCACAGAAGGTCAATAAATACATCCTGACTTGACTAGAAGGTGGTTGCTAATAGAGAATGTCTGGGATTAAAATGAACACTGCTGTCAGATGAAGGAGTGTTTTCAACGTGATTTCTAGGTAATCAATGAGGCTGGTGCCTTGTCCAAGTCAATCTATGAGCGGATGTTTAAGTGGCTGGTGGCACGTATCAAGAGGGCCTTGGATGCCAAGCTGTCAGGCAGTTCTTCATTGGCATTCTTGACATCACTGGTTTTGAAATCCTTAACATGAGTATATTTAGTAAGAATGAAGTCAATGCATACTTACAAGAGATTAGGAAGTGTGGTGATTTGCACATGGGAAAATATAGTCAAAGCATGATGAAATTCTGTGCAAAACTTAAGGTTGTCTTGGTTGGAAAAGAACTGTAATTAATAATAATAATTATTCTAATTCATACTATTAAGCATCTCTTAGTTTCACAATTCAGCCTTACATAAAGGGGAATAGAGGCAAAGGAATCTTTTATGATTTTGAATTGTAATACCATTAAATGTTACTTTATTGTATAATCTTTAGTTTGTAGGTATAGCTGAAGGAAGCAAGAATTGAGCGTTTGTTACTTGTTGGGTCTATTTGCCATCCTATAATAGTGTTATGGTTCTCTCTTTACATTTTTGCAAGTGAAGTTCAATTTTAACTCTTTTTCATACCTATTTATATCTTTGAAGCATAATAGCCTTGAGCAACTTTGCATTAATTTTACCAATGAAAATTACAACAGTTCTTCAACTGGCACTTGTTTATTTTGGAGCAAGAGGAATACAGGAAAGAAGGCATTGACTGGGTGTCCATCGACTCTGGTCTGAATTTGCAAGCTTGCATCGATCTCATTGAGAAGGTGATCTATGTTTCTTGCCTTGTTCATTTTCATTTAAGGAGACTTGTCCCTACTTGCCATGTTGATCCATGTCAGGAATCAGACTCTGGCGGGGGATGGAAAATGGGGGAGGAAAGCCCTACACATTTTGCCTTAATGGTCTTTGTGTGCAGCACCCGTGGCATCCTAACTCAACTCTCCCGACAGCTGCCCTGCTCCATCATCTCTAACGCAGACTTTTGCTACACATTTGCTGCTTATGCACAGCCTCCACTGTCAATGCGTGAGGAAACTTGTCAAGATTAAAAATGATCATGCTCTTGACTGGAAAAACACAGAGCTGAAAATATGAGCACTGTAGGGGCTGGCTGATTAACATGAGGTGAATGAGTAGACCCAGAGCAGCTTAACGAAATTTGGCAAATTAGCATGCAAACAAACAACTGCCATCAATCCTCGAGGCCACTACCTTGCAGGGTGTAGTTTGTTCATTTAATTGGACAAGTACCAGTTAGTTTAAGTAATTTATGACAATACTTCATGGCTTATTAGTAAATTAGCTGCACTGTACGGTTTCTAAATTCAGTGATGTCCCCGTACTCTGAAATCCTTCCACGTGTTCTGGGAAAGATGAACAGGATTTGCTGGGGAAATTCTGTATGGTCTTTTCCGTGGCTTTGTCCACGGGGGCAGGCATGGCAGCATGTTAGCAGTTACATGCCCCTTGTGTCTCGCCGTAACAGTGGATTGCAGTGAATCTTGCAGACGGGTCTGGGCAGGCTGAAGCCTTTGACTTTCTGAAAGCTCTCGGGCTATGCTGTCGCATTTGATTCTCAACAACCCTGTTAGAAAGGATCTAGGGTGACTGACCTCTCACGGTCGTTTGCAGGCCTCAGATTTTATCAGTCAGTGTCCTATCAATTTTATTTATTAGGCTTCAGGTGAAACTAAATCTTCCTTGAAAATAACTATTATTCCTAACAGGAGTGGATATCACATTGATTTTATTTATTTTATAACCAGTAACATTCCTAGGGGGAGGACAGGGTGATTAAAAAAAATAATGAATCAACTTTGAGCTGATGAAAAATAATGATAATGACGAACCCACTATGATCTGGTAAATGTTTTCCGGCATTATAAAAGCTATAGTTTTCTGGTTAGAAATGAAGCTGAAGCATAAGAACTGTAGGTCCTCAGAGGGACAGACTTAGCTTCTGGCAATTGTCACCTGTAATATCTGCTCACTTTGATGATACCAAGATACTGTTTTCAGGCAGGAAGGTGGGACTTAGACATTATTAAGATCCTGATGTCTGTGAATGTTACTGATTTTTAGTTGATCTGAAGCCTGTTGTCTCATTTATGTCAGTCTCGGTTATTCCAAATAATACATTACTAACATGGATGTAATTTCCTGTTGTATTTTCTACTGATATGATAAAATGAGAAAAAAAAAATACTGACCAGATGATAAAAAGAAAAAATAAGTCTCTTGTTATTCTCTGAAGGATTTCAAAGGAACTCAGGTCAGGAAAATAAAGGATATCAAAACCTTCCTTGAAAAGATTCTGTATTTTGAAAAGACCCATTATATTGATTCAGGCTATCTGAAGAAGATTTGTAGCAAATATTAATGACCAGACTTACTCCTTGAAATAGAAATGAATCATGGGAAGTTTTTATTTTTTTATTTTTTGAGACAGAGTCTCGCTCTGTTTCCCGGGCTAGAGTGCCGTGGCGTCAGCCTAGCTCACAGCAACCTCAAACTCCTGGGCTCAAGCGATCCTCCTGCCTCAGCCTCCCGAGTAGCTGGGACTACAGGCATGTGCCACCATGCCCGGTTAATTTTTTCTATATATTTTTAGTTGTCCAGCTAATTTCTTTCTATTTTTAGTAGACACGGGGTCTCGCTCTTGCTCAGGCTGGTCATGAACTCCTGAGCTCAAACAATCCTCCCTTCGCTGCCTCCCAGAGTGCCAGGATTATAGGCGTGAGCCACCGCACCTGGCTTGGGAAGTTTTTAAAATTCGAAAGAACTGAAATATATCAATATGTACAAAATGTTTTTTAATATGCATCTCTCTGTGTGTAAGGAAAAAGGATTTTCATACATAAAGGTTTTAAATTTTTAAGTTTATAAAAAGTTTATATCAAACTGAAATAAAAAATGTATTTTAACAACAACTTTAATTGTTAATTTGGTCTTCAAGCTCACAGTGACCTCCTTCCATATATATGCTGTGAACAAATCTATTATAGAATTAGCTCACACTTATTTCATTACTTGAAATATTCTAGTTTGTTTAACACTTGAGCATCAATAATTTATATATTAAATTATTAATATATGATTACATATTTACAGTTATACATAAGGCACTGGTAAAGGGATCATCCCTATTATTTCTTAACAATCGTACCCTAAGTTACATATTTAAAAACTTGCTGTTCTTCAGTATAGTCACATTGGAAGGCTACTTTTTCTTCCAGTAATTCAGCTCTTTTGGAAAGTTTCTTACAGGATAGAGACTAGGATAAGGTTTTAGAATTTTACTAGGTTCAAGAGAATATTTGCTTCCAAACTGATCATCTTACTAGATTTTGAGTCTAAACTGTATTACCTAGCTTGGTCACATTATTCCCTTTATGTGCCTGACTTGGCCTGAATAACTTTGGATTGTTTCTATACAATCATATACCATCAGACAACAGGAATTTTCCACGTGTCAGTAGTCAATGGTATCAGGTATACCAAAGAAAGTCCTAAAAGTCTTTTAAATCCTGGCAGAATTTTGGCATTATATAAGTGTTTTTGCCTCCCAAGGGGAGCTCCTTGGATGTGCTAATTCTTATGTTTTTAGTCTAAAATGAATCATATTACTATCTAGCTATATCTTATATGCACATGAATATTTTTTTGAAACACATAACTTCATGCTTTTTTTGTTGGCAACTCTTACTTTTTGTCTGTTAACCACGGCAAAGCAGCCAAGTTCCCAGCATTCAAACTTGTACGTCCCAGTGTGCACCTGTCAATTAATTACTTAGCAGAAATTTGCCGAGGGCCTACACTTAAGTCACCTTGGCACCTACTATGCTAAGGGTTATAAGGAATGCAAACTCCAGAAGGCATCATCTGGCAATTAAGGAATTTTTAGTATAATTGGAAAGATGTCTTGAAATTAAAACTTCTATTGTTTTGTTGTTTTTGTTGCTAAACAAGTAAATCTGTTTAGCAACCACTTATTTTGGTCACTTCCTCTTCACCCCATTGGTGAGAGAGGGAATCTTGCCCTAGGGTTATGGGATGGCTGAACATATGACATCCAACACCGGACAGATGAGATCAGCATCTTATTAGTCACAGATGCTCACAGCGTGTGGGGGGAGACACCCCATGTGATGTAGGGCCACAAGGGGGTGCACTGTGAATAGAGTGAACAAGCGGGAGCTGTGGGAGGCAGGCTTTGTAGTAATAGTAGAGCGAGGTGAGCCCAGGGTCCCGCAGGAGGATGTGGTAGGCTTGTTTGAATAATTTCACGGGCTGGCAGGGAACTGAAACCCATTACTCAGGGATAAGCAGACACTGGGCCTGGTCCCTGTCAGAAGGAGGTCTGTTTGGCTAGGGGTGCGGGGAACGTGGCCAGTGTTCCCTGCAAAAAACCGGGTCCCTTTGGTAGAGTTGCAAGGGATAAGAAAATAATAGAGAGAAATGGAAAATGGAAGAAATAAAAGAATACACTGAGACAAAGATATAGTTTTATAAGTTTATAAAGATTATAGGCAAAGCGGGAGCTCAGGGGGCTCGGACCTCTCCGTTGGTCTCAAAAAAGCCCTGAATGAGGTCTTACATGGTAACTTATAGGAAACAGTGAACAATTGTCAGGGGTAACAGATTTACATAACAACAGGTAGTTCCTCTCAGGTTAACAGATTTTCAAAAGGCTTTTACAGAAGGCTTCTACAGATTCTTTAACTAATTCTATTTACCTGAGCAAACGGTTACAAAGTCTTTGAAAGGTTAATTTCTAAATTCTAAGGTAAGTTTATCATTTAAACAGAGGGGTTAAACAGAGATATACAAGCTCCATGTTTATTAGGTTATTGTGAATGGAGACAGGTAGTCTAGAGTAGTTTAAACAAAACTTTGCTTTTGGCCCATTGGGAAGCTGGCCTTTCCGGGAAGCTGTTTGTTCCAGAGGGCACTCCATCGTCAGCTCTCAGCCTATAGTTTTTAACAGATTCGCTTGTGCTTTACAAAGCAAATCCAATTCTTTAGGTCTGAGAAACGCGGCGCCTCATGGGATACAGCTGCTACTGCCTTTCAGAGACGCCCTTCCAGTGTAACAGCATTCGAAATGCAAACCACATTCACCTATGCCTTCAGGGCAAAGCTCTGTAAAAACTCCTAAGACAGATCCTGTCCCAAAACACGTTTAATACTAATTCATGGAGCAACATAGGGGCTTAACCCATGGAAGCACAACGGGAGGGGAACTCGCAATTAGGTCGTTTGAGCCCCTCCTGATTTTTCTCAGATATCACAACACACATAATGTTGGGCCTTAATTTTAGGCTTAATACCACATTACTGTGTGTAAGACTTTGCATGGAATTCTGTAGAAAATGTAAGCATTTGTTATAAATAGCTCTTGCCTTCAGGAAGTATGCAGTCAGGTGAAGGATTTGTAAGTCTAATAAATGTAAAAATGCATTTAAAAATCATTATGTGCCGTATAAATTCAATTAAAGGCACAAAGGCCCAAGAGGTCAGAAGAACAGAAGTTATCTCTGTTTGTAGGAATCTAGAAAGGGCTGCATGGAGGGGAGTAAAACTGCAGCTAGATCTTAGGGAGCAGATATAATTTCAGCAGGTAGAGATAGAAAGAAGGTTGGAGGACAGGTAAGAGCAAAGGCATAGGAACAAGAAAGCAAAGGACATGTCCTGACACGTTGGTCTAGTTGGAGATAGAATACACAGAAGGAGGTGCCTAGAAGAAAAAAAAAAAGGGCCAAATCATGAAGGGATTTTAATTAATTCATACCTTATTTTAGGGTGATAGGGAGCCACAGAGAGTTCTGAGCTGGGCAATGGAGTAGTACTCAGAGCTGCTGGTGTTTAATCTGGTGGGTTTGTGTATAATGTTGGGGATGGGAGGAAAGGCATCCAGGTGAGAATTAAAGAGGTGCTGACCCAGGACAGCAGAAATGGAAGTAGTAAGAAAGTGACAGATATAAAAGAGAGGAAAGTAGAATTGATAATATTTGAAGAGGGAGTGGTCAGAGCACTACTGTTCTGAGTCAGGGCAACTGACTCAAACCATCTACTGTGCAATATAGGACAATTGATGCTAGCAGAAAGGACAAAATTGCTTTTTTTCTGACTTATTTGGAAATTAATTTGCTGGAGGGTCCCATATATATTAGAAGTTTTATAGCTCCTGAGCACTCGGGAAATGGAGATGCCCCTGAAGAAACTGTGTTTTTCCTTCATCAGTGGTTTAATTGTTACCTTTTGATCTATAAAATCTATTTGCTTTACATAAAACTTCCATTCATCCCAAAGTGGAAGTTGGCATCATTGGAGACCCAAGAAAATGAGGACCTCATGTGTCAGAGATGGCTCTGCTTGAGGTGGGAACTGCCGCTCCTTCTGAGGCTTTGCCACAACCCTCTGGTTAACAGTCCCCATTCAAGGGGTTGCTTAAGTTTCTAAATGATTCATTCCTGTTTTCACTGAAGATTGGCTATAGGCATGGCAGGAAAATACCTGGTGCATGATGGGAATCCATGCCTCCAAGAGCGTACACCAGTGAATCTACTTTATCAGATTCCCTTCCCCTGTTCCTTCCCCTCTCCCTTCCCCTCTCCCTTTCCCCCTCCTCCTCATTTCTGTCTTTGCCAAGGACTCACAAAGTTAGTGGTGGCAGGAGCAAGACAGATGTTGGTTTCACTTAGAATACTTTGTCCTCACATAGAATACTTGACATCCTCACTCTGTATTATTTCCCACCTAGATGCTTGGGATGAAGGAAGGTACCCAGAACACTGCAGTGTTAGAGTTTTTGGTGGGCCAGGTGCCGTGGCTCACACCAGTAATCTCAGCACTTTGAAAGGCCGAGGGAAGAGGATTGTGTGAGCTCAGGAATGCAAGGTTATAGTGAGCTATGAATGGGTTACTGCAGTCCAACCTGGCTGACAGAGCGAGACCTTGTCTCTTAAAAAAAAAAAAAGTTATTGGTGGAATGTTGTTCAATATACTTTCTATAAAATATAGGTCTGTGAGAATATACAAAAGAGAGAGATAGGAAATTATAGTGCATATATTGGAGAGATAGACTCAGGTGGATCAAAAGCATGACTTTAAATATCTAATGAGCCACCACATGGAAAAGGCATTAGATTCGTTTGTATGGCTCTAGTAGAAGAATTTAGAATAAGGATTCTAAACGGCAAGCAAATTTTGTCACCCATCCAGAGCCTTGACTCAGAGTTGGTGTTTTCTCTCTCCGTGGAAATATTCGAGTGTAAGCTAACTAGCCTTTTGGAAGGAAATTATAAGGGGAATTCAAGGATTTATTAGGTGGGTTGGACAAGAACTTTAATATCTCTTCCAAACCTGAGAGTCTGTGGTTGCTAGGTACAAAGGGTTGACAGAAAATATGAAATCTGTTTTGTTGGGGCGAGTGGTCACGTTCTATCTTGCTTGTTCTATCTTGGAATTCTCACAGCATTTTATCCGTACCTCTGTTTTGTAGTCTATATATTATGTGCACATCTTCCTGGCTAGATACTCTGGAACCAGAACCCATGTCTGATTCATCCTGATACAACCCGAAATGTTTGGTACAGTGATTTGCTCATAAAAATCATAAAAACACTTCAAAAATATTTGTGGAGTAGATAATTGAACCTATAAATACACAAATACATATGCAAACATAAGAATCCCTGGCTTCCCCTGCCTCTAAAACCTGTTTTCCCCTGTGTGTATGTTTCTGTGTGTGTCTGCATGTTTACGTTGGTTTATGGCAGCATCTATTACTGAGTTACTCAGGCCAAGAACTTCTTTTTCTTACACACCACATTCTATCCATCAGCAAGTTGGCACCCAGCTCTACTTTCAACACGTATCACATTTCTAACGACTTCTCACAAGCTCCAACACTATCACTCGCCTAGACCAGCAAACTATGGCTCTGTGGACTGAATGCAGCCTGCAGCCTGTTTTTATAAAGTCTTATTGTAACATTGCCACACTCATTTTGTTTATATGTCATTAATAGCTACTTTCAATGCTACAATGGCTGAGATGATGGCAAATGTGTGACAGAGACTATAGGGTCCTTTAGAGAAAAAGTTTGCTTAAGGAGGTTATAAAGTTTTCTGTCACATATTTGTTTGTTTTTACAACCCTTTAAAAATGTAAAACCATTCTTAGCTCACTGGCTTTCCAAAACAGACTGCAGGCAGGATTGGGCCCACGAGCTCCACTTTGCCCACCACATTGTAAACCAATGATCGCTTTCAGGCATAAATCAAATCATATCACTTCATGTTAAAAATCTCCAAAGGCCTCTTGTTACACTTAAAATAAATTCCACGTCTTACACAGCCTATACGGCCCTTGATGTCCAGCTACTGCTTACCTCTCTGACATCTTACCACATGCTCTGTCCAGCTAGCTTCGCTCTGTCCACACTGGCCTCTGGGTGCCAAGGGTGCTCCTTCCTCAGTGCCTTTGCTTGCTTCATTTTTCTGCCCGGAATACTTGTACGCTGATCTTCTTAGGTTGCTCTCATTCAGGTCAGAGGGGGTCTTACCCGATTACCTTGTCTAAAATAGCTCCCCTCCAGGCCCCTCCTCAATCATTCTCTGTGTCTTTACTTTGTGTGATTTCTTCAGAGCACTTATACGAAGCTAAGTTATTTATTTTTTATAGTTATTTCTTTGTTTGCTTGCCTGTTGTCTTGTCTACTACACTAGAATGTAAGTGCCTAGAGGACAGGCACTTTTTTTTTCCAACTGTATGGTAGATATCTGAAGAGACAGGTGCTTTGTGTATGTGGCTCCAGAAATAGTAGGTATTTAGTAAATATTTGTTGAATGGATGGTTGGCTAGTTATATGCAGTGAATATCCTTCCCTTTGTCACCTATTTAGGTTCCTGGGAAAGAATTTATTCTGACCTAGTACTGAAAGGACTGTTTCCTGGTGTGTTTTTTTGTTTGTTTGTTTTTTTAATCTGCTGCTCATATGCACCTCCATAGCCAATGGGCATCCTTTCCATCCTTGAAGAGGAATGTATGTTTCCAAAGGCTACAGGCATGACTTTCAAGACCAAACTCTTTGGCAACCATTTTGGAAAGTCGGTTTATCTCCAGAGGCCCAAGCCAGATAAGAAGACATATGAAGGTCATTTTGAACTTGTCCATTATGCAGGAGTGGTGAGTTACCTCTAGAACCTTAGCCCTGCATTTTCCTGGCTCTGTTTCCAATGCACTCAGCCAAAGTCCTTAGATAATATTTAAACAAAATTTAGATTAAATGAAGAGAAGAACAAACTCGTCTCAGTACCAGAAAAAAAAAATACATGCAACGTAGCCCTTTAGCACTCAGGAAATAAAATGCCCATACCACAACACCGTTCCGTGTGCACAGAGGTCAAAAATTTCTAGATGGACTCTCTCACCCCAACTCAAAGCAGGACAGCTTCTGAAAGGCATGGACACCATCAAAGTCAGGGGCTTTCCCCTTATTTGTCCTTCCTTTTAACTTAACATTGTGTGATTGAGTGATTTCTATTGATCTTTTTATTGAAGATTTTTTTTTTATTCTCCCATAAAGAAATAGTCAATGTAAAGTAATGGTTTCCAAACTATGGCCAACAAAGGTTTCCAATGACCCTCTCTGCCTCTCCTCATTTCCCTGCTGGTGTGAGGGCCCCTTTCTTCTGCTTTTCTGCCTCTGGCCAGTGATTCTGGCTGGAACAAAAAGAGAATTGATAAAGGATAAAATAATATTTCAACCTAAAAATGGCCTGCCAACTATACTCACAGATAGGCTTATAGTTCTCTTTTTTGATATCCTGTCATATTAATTATGATATTTATAGCAAAATACCATAATTTCTAACATTTTTTCTCTTAATTTTTATTTTTAATTATTATGGTTACATAATAGTTGTATATGTTAACAGGATGCATGTGATGTTCTGATACAGGCACACAATGTGTAAGGATCAAATCAGGGCAATTGGGGTAGCCATCACCTCAAGCATTTATGCTTTGTGTTAGGAACATTTCAATTTCACTTTTAGTTATTTTAAAATATGCAATAAATTATTGTTAACCATAGTCACCCTCTTTTGAGTGCTCACTGTGTTTCGCGGACAGTTGGGTCATTTCATCTATTCTTGCCCATGAAGGACTGCTGATTTGAATTGTTTCTACTGGAAACACCATTCAATCCTTCCTTCCTCTCTATCTTTCTCTCCCACTTCTTCCCCTTTCTCTTTCTCTCTCCACTCTCCTCTTCCTGTCTCTCCTTTTCTTTTGACAGTGTAAATGGTAAAGCTTGAGAATCTCTTTGGGCTGCACAATGGACTTTTAAAGTATTATTCGGTACTGTTATGTGAAGCTGATTTAAAGTTAAAGGACCCACGTAATTTGTGATTTTTTAAAGTAATGAACAATTTGCTATGTAAATTTATGCATTTTTTTCCCTTTGTTACCTGAAATGCATGTCTTTCCAAAGGTACCTTATAACATCACTGGTTGGCTTGAAAAGAACAAAGACCTCCTTAATGAAACAGTGGTGGCTGTATTTCAGAAGTCTTCCAACAGACTCCTGGCAAGCCTTTTTGAAAATTACATCTGTACCGACAGTGGTGAGTCACATAATTTCCCTTGATTTTTCAGCCTCAGAATGGAACCCGTGGCTGCCTCAGCTTTTACAAAAATCCTTGCTTCCTTACTGTGACATGTTCTGCTCCCTGTGGTCTGAGTCGTCCCCTCCTTTTAGCCTGTCTGTTCTCAGGCTGGTTCTTCAGGGAAATGGTACTAGTGCTCTAAGATAGATATATTTCAAGGAGTCTGTTTCTGGTTTGTTTTATCTTCTACTCGACCTAGCTGCAAAGGGAGAACAAAAAAATCATGTTTCAATGAATGAGTTGGGGGCAATAACAAGCCCAAAATACATATACATATATATGGGTTTGTGTGTGTGTGTGTGTGTGTGTGTGTGTGTGTGTGTACACTTTCCCCAAATATATATTTATATATATTTTTTCCTCAAATATCTTGGAATTCTCTTTCACAGTGCTCTATGCACGTGGGGTTATTAGAGGCTTCATGAAGGCAGGGATTATGTCTGACTTGTTCAGCTGTAGCCTCTAGCATGTGGCAAATGTCACTTCAGAAGGCACTCCATAAATACTTATTTACCAACTAACAACTAACCTTGTTTAATAGTTTGTAATTTACAAAGCACTTTTAGATACATTACCTTACTCAATTTTGTCGTGGCCTTTTCAGGTATATACAAAAGGGAATCTCTCCCTGTCTTCTGTTAAGTAGCATCCTCAGTTTTACACATCTAAATGGCAATGCTAGATAGGAAGCAGGATTTCTGTTTCCTAGTCTAGTGCCTAGTCCACTCTCAGGATCTCCCCCAAACAAACAAACAAAACACAAAGATGGACAGGCTGCGTACATCTAGGATACAATGCAAACTTCTGCACCATTGTACTATGAATTTGAAGATTCTGAGCCAAGTTGCTAACACTAACCTCACAGCTGAACTAATGCCAACTGTAGAAGGAAGTTCTCCATGATTTACCAGCAAAAGTCACTGATTGGCAGCCCCTAAGCAGAACATAGCATTCAAACATATTTTGTTTGGTCCATATAGGTTAAACAATCAGAAGATTTCACATGTACATGTGGACTTCCCTTTTGTTTTGAACAATGGGAATTCTAGGGAAATAGAAAATCTGGCCTGCCTGGGTTCAGATTTCTCCACAGCAACAGTGGGGCAGAGTACAGGAGCTTTTCTTTAAATGCCAGGTGTATTCTTGCCTCCTAACATTCTCACTCTCCTCTTAGCTTACACCCAGACTCATGTTCACTCCTGGCTCCTCCTAGTCTGATTTTGGACTCCTGATTGACCTGGTCAGGGAGTGGAGAGAGAATTTAGAATTTAGCACTTCCTGGCTTTATTAGCACATGATGACATAATTTGGGAGTGTGCCTGAAACCCTCTGGGCCTGCCTCAAGAGAAGGTTGAGAAATGGAAGCTATTGTTTGGACCCCGCTAATCTTCAGGCAGTGCATTTGCTTGATTCTAATAGCTTCTAAAGTACCTCTGAGAAGTCTATTAGATAGTGGCCACATGAGCTTATGGCTCCCAGATGAGTAATTCTCTGATCATAAGAGATCAGAGAGTGGTTTGGGCAGACAATTAGAGAAGAAATCATTTTCTAACTCTTCAGGATGTGTGCTGTGTTCTTTGGAACTAGAAGAGAAGAATTGTCCAGAATGTTGTTTTTTTTTTTTTTTTTTGATAATTCTTTAAGTACTCCATGAAAATACTTGTCTCCAAGTTTCTGACCCATCCAAACATTAAATTGCTTATAATAACCACACTTTTTCCTGAGGAATCCAAATACTTTAAACCAGAGTTATAATTCTTTTAAAAAAATTAATGAAATGTAGTATTAGTCCCTTTCCATGGATGGAGAAATTGAAGTGCAAAGAAGTCAAGTAAGTCACTTAGAGACCTAGGGCATATCAAAAGGACATTAGTGATTAAACTTCATGACATCTGCCACCTCACAATTGCTACTCAAGCCCGGAGATTATTCTATTGGTTTTCCATATCGATAGCTAACCCATTTTCTCCAGGTTACCTATGGATTTTGTTGTTGCTGCTGTTGTATATCTTAATGATTTAGACTTTGCAAATGTTTTTAAAACAGTTTAGTTTAGCATAAGTTCTTTTGCTTCAAGAAAATGGAAATAGATTATTTTTAAGTAAATCATAAAAATTATACACAAATGTTGCCTCAAACACAGACAATATAGAAAAACTAAAAAGTACATAAAAATTATCTATAATCTCATGTAGAGAGGTAAAAACTGCTAACATTTTGGAATATACGCCTCCCAACATTTTTCATATTTATAGTTACCCATAGCACAACTGCACTTAAAAACATGTATACACACTCGGGACCATAATATACAAGATATAGACTTTGTAACCTACTTTTTCTCTTAAAATATGTCCTAGAAATATTTTCACATTAGTTATATGGATCCATGTCATCATTTTAAAAGGTTACAGTGTTTCATTGTGTGCATATTTTTTCATAATTTAACTAAGCTCCTATGATGGACATTTGTTGATTAATTTTATTTTTGCCTAATTTTTTTGCAATGATTAAAGAATGTTTCACTGAATATCTTTGTACAGTTGCCAGATTATATCCTTAAGAAAAAGCACTGGAAATAGACATTTTGTATTAAAAGACATAAAATGTTTTCGAAGCTTTTGGTAGATGTTGCCATATTGTTTTTAGAACTTCAATGAATCTGTGCTTCCATCAGAAGGGTATATTAATGGGACCAAAAAAAAGGGCTTTTAAAATGCTTCTTTCTTCTTCTTTCTTTCTTCTTTTAGCTATATCGTTTGAGGAGAAGAAACGCAAGAAAGGGGCTTCATTCCAAGCGGTAGCATCTCTGCATAAAGTGATTTTTGATCGCATTTATTTTTTATTCTCACAACCTGCATATGTTATTGGTTATTTGAAATTTCACATCTTCAAATAAAGTTAAAGTATCTGAAGTTAGCCAAGTTGGAAAAGTTGAAGTTTATTTTGGTGTTATCCGGAGCCTTAGTGGACACTGTTTGTGGCCCACCTGGGTCCCCTTTGTCATCCCTGTGCACATCTTCAGCTGATGTGGATATTGGCCCATAATAATCGCCAGTTGCCAGAATTGCCCTTGGTCAGATGCAAAGCTAGCCTGCCTCCTCGTCCTGCCCTCCAGACTTTGGCCTCTCCTTTGCCTTAAGGTGGGGGACCAATTACGGTACAAGTGGTATATTTGTGCTCACAGCTCCTCCACGGATCAGACTAAAGCTGAATCCACCTCATTGCTTTTTTTCTTCTCCTGCTCTACGCTGCTTCCCTCACTCTCGAAATAAATCTTTCAAACTGGAATTCCCATATCAGATTCTGCTTGTAGAGAAGCTGACCGAAGATAAAGATTCGCCACAGAGAGAAAACTTGAGAAACAATTTCTTTTTTCAAGACATTTTATTGCCCAACCATAAGTTATTGCTATCAAATTCAAAACAGGTAGAGATGATCCACAATGGAACTGTGTCTTTCAGATAAATATTGACTTGCCATAGGGAAGAAATAATGTACACTTGGTAGGCAGGAAAGAATGTTGAATTCATTATTTTACTGTTGATATTCTTCTTGGCTGTAAAATGAAGTGGATAGATTTGGAGATATTTGTGAGGTAGACTGGTGTTGTGCAAGGCAATTTTGTGTTTATTATGTGGATTAGTGATTTGTGATTGTGACATGGGTTAGTGATTTGTAAAGTGATTTTGTGTTTACTATGCTCTCCATTTTAGGAAAACCTAAATAAATTGATGACTAATCTGAAATCACAGCACCTCATTTTGTGAGATGCATAAATCCGAACGTGAACAAAATGCCAGGTAAGAACTTGATTTCTTTATAATTCACACTAGGAAGTACATTTGATTTCAGCTATATTGAATATTTTTTGAGAAACACTTACTAGTTTATTTTATATAAGGATAGATTTTCATATAGAAAAATTGAAGTAAGTTAAAAGTGAGGTCTTCAGAACCTCCCTAAGATTGACTCTAAATTGAACTTCTAGTGGATATATGGAGGGATTTCACAAAGCAGGCTCAATTGGACAAAATTAGAATGCTTGATATTACCATTTAAATTCCTCCTTGAATTTCATGCTAAATGTGGGTGAGCTCCTATGCCATTGTCTACAAGGGCAAAGTATAATAAAAAGCAATTGAATAATCAATTGAAGGATTCAGGTAGATATCTCGGCATAAAGGAAGTTATTTGGCCTGAATTATCTAAATTGAGATAAATTCATTTCTAATTTTTGAGAACTCCCTCTGTCTTCCTTCCTAATACTAACATCATGTTCCCTCTCCCAAATAGTATCTATTTTTTTTAAGTTATGTAATTCTGGGCAGTGGATACTTTTTGATGAGTGAATGAATGGTGGTAGGGGCATAATAGGTAGGTCCCCCTAGGTGGATGATGGTGAATTTTTTTTTTTTTTATGTCTCAAATTCCCAAAACAAAATTTTTACTTAAATTAACTACATTGATAGCTTTCCTTACATTATGTGTTTGAAGATTTCTGGCCATTCCTTTGGAATTATAAACCTCTCTGGAGCTTTGGTCAGAGGCTGTCAGCCTTGAAGGAGTGTATATGACAAGCCCTTGTGTCTTCAGAGCACTAACCACCCCTGTAATATGTAGCCAGATGTTGCTGGTTCTGATTTCGAGTATCTTGCATTTTCATTAACCTCCTTTTGATTAAGACCCCGATCTTGATAGTCTGTGGCCTATTTTGGGAAACTGTGATGCTAAACAATGATGCTGCAATTTGAGTTTTTGCAATGCAAACACTTCATGTTCATTCACGGCTGTATGTTTTTGCCTCATTGTTTCTTATCAGCTGGGTTTCTGAATGTGTCTAGGGACACTGCTTCCATCTAGCAAGGAATCTAATTAGCTGCCTCTATTTTGGAGCAATTCTGTTACCTATTAGAGTTGCCTCCCATTGAGTCAGCTCTGATTTCAGCAGGGTTGGTGGTTTTTTTTTTTAAAGTCATAAGACAAAGTTATGAGAAAAGCTTCATGATCTAATCAAAACAGTTCTTCATATGTGCTTAAGGGGAATGAGTGTGTTTGATTTTAAGGCGTCATAGGTCTCTCCTCCTGGCCCTTCTTATAGATCATCTGTGCCTGTCCATGAAAAGGATTGGAGCACAGCAATATGGGCATATGCCTTAAGTTTATTCTGTGACCTTGGGCATAGACAGGGTCATCTTCTTTTTTCATTTCTCTTATAAAACCATAGTAGGTGTTAGGAGGTATGCTCCTTGCCTTATTCCAGAAGACTTAATGAGGGCCAGATACAGTGGCTTCTATTGGCAATTGCAGCTGCCAGCTGTAGTAGGGCTTCTTTTGATGAATGAGGAGGTGATAGAAGGATGCTTATACCATAGAATGAAACTTAGGCTCTGTGAAGATAATAAGGGAAGAATAAAGGCTGGGATGTGAGCCAGTCCTTCCTGAACAAAATTGCAAGCAGAATTCTATGGTTGTGTCCATCTGCCCCTTTCTGTTTATTCCCCCTTCTCGTTACCCCATCTCCCTCCTACTTGTAGATGGCAGCTCCCTTTTGTGTTCTTATCACCCTCTCTAGCTGGTTTTTTGTTAGTGAATAAATGTCATACCAGCCATTTACATCCTAGCAAAAAATGTACTTTTCTCCCCTACCTTACAGGAGTATTTACTTATAAAATCTTATCTAACTGTGATAAAAGGGCTTGTTCCATGTTAAAGCAATTTCAGGGAAATCATATTTGGAGACTCCTGCATAATAGGATGGGTACTGTGAGTACCATCAGGCTGGGAGTGAGTGAACTCCTAGGATCTATCATGTAGAGAACATCAAATTTAGACTCTTTCTTTTTAACCCAATATGCAGAAATTGGGGCAAAATGTGGGATAGCAGGTTTTTTGGGCACAGATCCAACGTGACCTTTTTTTTTTCAGGTATAATGGATCCTGACTTGGTTCTACAGCAGTTGCGCTGTAATGGTATCTTGGAAGGAATTAGGATATACTGTGAAGGTTTGCCAAATCAACTGCTGTATGCTGATTTTAAACAAAGGTAAACAAACATACATTCTAGAATCCAAGAAGCCTGAGGCAGTCCATTCTGTTTTCCTCACTTTCCAAGTGTTTAGGCATGCATTGTTTGTTTGGTTGATGTCCTCCAGACTACAAATCGATGTGTTTTGGTGGTGGCGAGATATATGATGACAGGGTTCTATTATTATTTCCCCCTTAAATCTAACATCCATGTAACTGTAATATCCTTAAATCTCTATTAACAGGTAATAGACCCACATATAGAAGAAATATATACAGAAGAAACATATGGAGGCTGAATTGAATCTCTGAAATGTTGTATATACTTAATCGTAGCTGCCATCCAAGCAGGCTGGTGCTTTACCAGCAAGCCCGTGAAAGGAAGGAAGCAAGCAGGGTGTGTGGCAGGAGGCAGGAGAGGCATCTTTGCTTTCTCTTTCCTGAATTCTAGGAGTATGCATTTATAGGTCATCAAGCCTGAGCAAAGTGCGGCAGAGTAGAAAGAGTACCTGTCTTAGAGGCATATTTCTTGTTTTTCACCAAATCACCAATAGGGTGAAGGAATCTTAGAAAATACATTTAATGTCTCTGCTTTTCAGTTTCCTTATTTATACAATAGATTATATTCACACTTGCCCCCTCCCTCTCTTTCCCCATCCAATTCCTCCCTGCCTAAGTGAGCAGACAATCAAATGAGGTTGTCTCTAAAGCACTATAAAAAGTACAAACTATTATACCAATGCTGGGGATTATTAATTGTAGCATCCTCACTATTGCTACCGAGAGTTTTGTGAAAATGGAACATATTGGTAAGAGAGATAGAAGTCTATATCTCCTTTACTTCACTTGTTCAGATTTGTCTTTATTGAAATCATTTGATACCCTGACCCCAGGATTTATTCTTTACCTATTTTAAATTAGGTACTGCATTCTGAACCCCAGAACCTTTCCAAAGAACAAGTTTGTGAGCAGCAGAAAAGCAGCTGAAGAACTGCTTGGCTCCTTGGAGATAGACCATACCCAGTGCCAATTTGGAATCACTAAGGTAACCAGAAAACTGCAAAGGATGCATTTGGAGAAAAGTGGGAAGAAAGAGCGTATCTTAAAATACCTGTGAATGCTTAATTATAAGGCATTCTTCAGCTCTTGTGACCACAAATAGCACAAATAGAGCTCAGTTGAAGGTAGAAACTTCAGTGCTGTTTGAGAAAAAAAATATAGTCAATGCTTTTTAAACCTCAGTCTTGACACATTTGCATTTTTATAATTAGTCATCTAGGCAAATTTGTGCCAAGACATAAAATAGTGAATCAACCTTATGATGCTAGAAAATATGTATACATCTGAGCTAGAAAAAGGTGAATCAACTTCCTGGAGTTAATGGCTTGTGTGAGTGTGAACTGATTCATCCACAGTACTCTTTTAGGGAAAAATTTCTAGAAGATTATCTGAGTAATTTAATAACTTTAAAGTCAACCCCACTATCCAAAAAATTAATGCAAAACCAATTTCTTTAAATGTGATTCTCTAAATTCTACTTCATCTTAGATGATTTTGGTATATTGCACATATTTTGGGAAACTTCTAACTAACCAAAAGATTTGATTTGATCTGTAAGTCAAGTTTCTAATGACACCCATGTAAGGATCAAATTATTTGAGGGACAGTTGGAAGATCTAGGGTGAATAATTCAGAGAAATAGGACTCTGTAGGACATGGTTATAAAATATTACTTGACTCCCGCGTTTTCAGTACCTGAGAATCAGTTTCTGCTGTTTCTTATTTCTGCTGATTTTCATTGACAATGCCTTCCTTCCTGTGTATTTAGTTATTTTTGCTGTATGCCATTAATCTTGGCTGGGACTGACCCAGGCAAGGAAAGCTCCTAAGGCACAGATTTGAAGAAGGTATTCATTCTCAGGGTTGTGAAGGAAGGTTGAGAAGTACTCATTCTCAGGTTGTGTAAAGTGACTTTATGGAGGCACTTAGAGTGCTTTAGGTACCTTACTCACCTCACTTTGGTTGTTACTAATTATTCTTGAAAAAATATTTATGTGTATTCTTTGATGCCTAGGGCAAAAGTGTCTTCCTCTAGAGCAGGGGTCAGCAAACTATGGCCTAAGAGCCATATACAAGGCCTGTTTTTTATATGACCCACTAACTAACAGTGGTTTTACATGTTTAAAGAGTTGTTCAAAAACAAAGAAGAATATCCTACACAGATTGTATATGGCCTACGAACTCTTAAAATATTTACTACTTGGCCCTTTACAGAAAAAGTGTTTAGACCTTGCTTGGCACTTTGGAGCACTGCATGCGTGGGCCCATCTTAAAACTTAAACCAGGTTTCTTGAACAATCTAGACATTATTAACAGATAAGGGAAGAAGAGTTTAAATTCTTAAGCAACCAACATAACTATAGGATTAAATAAAAATTTTTTTTGCAAATTTTAAGTTTATAAAATTAAGCTTTCTAGGAGGTAGATTTTACCCATTAAATAAAACTTAACGAGAAATAGAATTGATAAAGTTGTCCCAAGGAACACATCAATTGCTTACATGATCAGTTCAACAGACATTTGCTCAATACCCATTATGAGTGGAACTAACAACTGACTTACTTCTTTTAGGTGTTTTTTTAAAGCTGGATTTCTGAGTCAACTGGAAGCAATGAGAGATGAAAGACTATCTAAAGTCTTCACATTGTTCCAAGCCAGAACACAGGGCAAACTGATGCGAATCAAATTCCAGAAGATTTTGGAAGAAAGGTATTCTATGCCTGTCCTGTACCCTTACTGCTCTAGTAATAATATGCCTCATCCGATGTGACCTAATCTCATTGGCTTTTAATAGGCCAAGGTTAAAGAGCTGACTCCTCTGCTGAGTCTTGGTCTTAAAAACTTTTAAATCATGGTACACCAAAAAGATAAAGTGCAAAGGGCTTTTATTGTCTGACCCAACCAAATATAAGCATAATTCAGATATTTCTTGCACTGCTTCCAGCCTTCCCCTGGAGAATTATCTTTATGTTCTGAGAAGTCTGGATCTCTGAAGGTAGTATGATTCACAATTTGTAACAGAAACAGACCTGGGAAGATTTGCATATCTTCCACTGCCAACTCTGTGGGGAAGTTTACTTCAAAGAGAAGAGTTGTTATGACCACTTTATTACCTCCCCTGGGTCAGAAACCCTTGTTCTTGGTGATGTGTAATCATAACTTTCTTACTCTCTTTCAGGCAGGTTCACTGGAGACATTTATCACCACATTTTGGCACTTAGGTGTAGGTTTTGTCTGTTCTTTAATGGAATCATGGAAAGCAAACTAGCAAAATCTCCAAAAAAGGGGCTGTGAGCCAGGGACTCTGCAATGGTTTTACTTTTTCCTTAGCATAGTTTATCTTCTGGAGAAAGGTCTGCAGATCTTGACATAACTTGTTTAATTGACAATTTGTTAATTCTATCTGTTTCCCGAAAGAAGAAAAAGATCGTTACATGGTGACGTCAGAGATATGAGAGAGACAACCCCTAAGGGTCTTCTGTGACCTTCCTGTGCAGTGGTCAGTGTGGCGTCGGAGCATGGCTTCTAGGGCCGCTGCGTAAACTCTTAATTTCTCAGCAGTTCACCTTCATCTCTAGAATGAGGCCTTTAAAGATCCGTTCTTTCTAAATTATGACTTCAAAAATGATTGTGAAGGATTTCAAACACATAAAAAAGTACAGAAAATATTATAATGTATACTCATGGAGCCATCATCAAGGTATATAAATTCTTAACATTTTTTTTTTGTAATTGCTAACAACTTTTTAAAAAAAATTAGCATACATAGTTGAAGCCCCTCTGTATTTCTCCCTTGATCCAAGTCCTACCTCTCCTTCCCCAGATCATGAATTTGTTTAACATTCCATGTTTTGTACATAAATCATGTAAAGGGATGTTTTTATACCTTTACTAGACATGCAGATATCCTTAAAATATAACATGACTTTGTATGTTTTTAGTCTTCAGGTAAATAATATTCTGCGTGTATTATCCCGAAGCTTGTCTTTTATGTTTAGTATTATTCTCTGAAATATATCATTGTTATATTTCTTAGGCTAGATTATTGAGAGAGATATATATACAGCTTTTTTTTTTTTTTTTTTTTTTGAGTCAGGGTTTTGTGTTGTTCCCTGGGCTAGACTGCAGTGGCGTTGTCACTGCAGTGACAAACCTCAAACTTCTGGGCTCAAGGGATCCTCCTGTCTCAGCTTCCCGAGTGGCTAGGACTATAGGTGCTTGCCACCATATCCAGCTTATTATTTTTATTTTCTGTAGAGATTGGGTATCACTGTGTTGCTCGGGCTGGCGTCAAACTCCTGGCCTCAAGTGATCTTCCCACCTTGGCCTCCCAAAGTGCTAGGATCATAGGCGTGAGCCACTGCACCTGGCCCTAGGTTATTGACTTTGACTGCTGTATAGTATTCCATTGTGTGAATGTAACACAATTTATTTATCCATTTTCCAGCTCAAGTATATTTATTTCCAATTTTTTTGTTATTACGAAGAGTTCTGCAGTGACATTTTTGTAAATGTCTCTCCGTGCATATATGTAAGATTTTCTTGAGTGCAGCATTACTCAAAATGCCCCATTCTCTGATAACAGTTTGTGGACAGCAGCTGGTCCAAGGCACGCACTTTGAGGACACTTCTCTAGGGCACGAATTAGTAGGTTTTAGGTTACACACAACTTCAACATTGCATGACATTGCCAAAATGCTTTCCAATATAATCTACTCTCTACTGGCAGTACAGGAAAATCCCTTTCCCTGTATTCTCACTAACTTGTGGTATTTCAGACTTTAAAACTTTTGCCAAACTTTGTCATATTACTGACTTTGGGGAAAGCTACCATTTCCCTTTAAAGAATGATGCTTTCTGAAATGTATTTTATAGATATGCTTTATTGTATGAAGGACATTCCTTCCATTTTATTGTGTTAAGAATTTTTATCTGGAAAATAATTGAATTCTTTACCTACATCTATTGAAACAATTATATAGTCTTGCTAAAGTAATTTATAAATGTGTTGAATTATATTAATAGATTTTTCAAAAAATGTTGAAGCCACTTTGGCTAAGAAATATTATCTTTTCATACATTGATAGGTTTGGTTGTGATATTGTCATGAGATTGTTGCATCAATATTCATGAATAAGGTTTTAACTGATCAACACCTAAGTGTATATATAGGAATAACATTCATCGGGTGTTGGGCAGGTGGGAGGGGGGAGGAGGGGATGGGTATATACATATATAATGAGTGTGATGTGCACTGTCTGGGGGATGGACACACTTGAAGCTCTGACTTGGGGCAGGGTGGGCAAGGGCAATATACGTAACATAAACATTTGTACCCCCATAATATGCCGAAATAAAAAAAAATTAAAAAAAATAAAATGGATTTCTTGTAGGTAAAAAGAAAAATATTGATGAATAAGATTGACCTGTAATTGCTTTTCATCTGCCATATTATCTGATTTTTTAAAATTTCAAGATATCAATTAAGGGGGTACAAGTGTTTTTATTACATGGATATCTTGTGTAATGCTTAAGTCAGGGCTTTTGCTGTGCCCATCACCAGAATAGTGTTCATTGTACGCAATAGGTAAGTTTTTATCCCAAACGCACCCTTTCACCTCCCTCCTTCTTGGTTTCTCATGTCCATTATATTGCTTTGTGCCTATATATATCTATCTATTAGCTCCCACTTATTAGTGAGAATTGTGGTGTTTGGTTTTCCATTCCTGAGATACTTCACTTAGGATAATGGTCTCCAGTTCCATCCAAGTTGCTGCAAATAACATTATTTCATTCCTTTTTATAGCTGAGTAGTACTCCATGGTACATATAAGCCACATTTTCTTTATTGATTCATGAATTGAAGGGCACTTAGGTTGAGTACACATCTTTGCAATTGTGAATTGTGCTGTAATAAACATCCAAGCACAGGTGTCTTTTTGATAAAATGACTTTATTTCCTTTGGGTAGATACACAGCAGTAAGATTGCTGGATAGAATGGTAGGTCTATGTTTATTTCTTTGAAGCATCTCCATACTGTTTTCCATAGAGGTTGTACTAATTTGCAGTCCCACCAACAGTGTATAAGCATTACTTTCTCTCTGCAAGCATGGTAGCATCTATTGTTTTTGACTTTACTAATGGCCATTCTGATAGGAGTACAGTGGTATCTCATTGTAGTTTTAATTTGCATTTTCCTGATAATTAGCGATGTTGAGCATTTCTTCATATTTATTTTGGCCGTTTGTCTATCTTCTTTTGAAAAACTTCTATTAATGTCTTTTTCTCACCTTTTGATGGGGTTGTTTGTTTTTATTCTTGCTGATTTTAGTTCTCTGTAGATTCTGGATATCAGTCTTTTGTTGGACTATACAGTTTGCAAATATTTTCTCCCATTTTGTAGGTGTCTATTCACTGTGTTAATTATTTCCTTTGCTGTGCAGAAGCTTTTTAATTTAATGAAGTCCCATTTATTTATTTTTGTTTTTGCTGTATTTTCCTTTGGGGTCTTAGTCATAAATTCTTTGCCTGGGCTGATGTCTAGAAGAGTTTTCCTATGTTTTCTTCTAGAATGTTTATGGTTTTGTGCTTTACATTTAAGTCTTTAATCTATCTTGAATTAATTTTTGTATTAATATATGGTGAGAAACAGGGGTCCTATTTTATTCCTCTGCATGTGGCTATGCAATTTTCCCAGCACCATTTATTGAATAGACCTTCCTTTTCACAGTGTGTGTTATTGTATGCTTTGCTGAAGATCAGTTGGTTGTAGGTAGCTGGTTTTATTTCTGGGCTTTCTATTCTGTTCCATTTGTCTATGTCTCTACCTTTATACCAGTATCATGCTGTTTCGGTTACTATAGCCTTGTATAATTTGAAGTCAGGTAATGTGTTGTGTCTAGATTTATTCTAGTTGCTTAAAATTGCTTTGGCTATTCAGAGTCTTTTTGGTTCCAAATAAAGTTTCAGATTATTTTTTCTAGATCTGTGAAATATGACACTGGTATTTTGATGGGGATTGCATTGAATCTGTAAATCACTTTGAGCAGTATAAACATTTTAACAATGTTGATTCTACCAATCCATGAGCAGGGGATGTTTTTCCATTTGTTTGTGTCATCTGCGATTTCTTTCATTAGTATTTTGTAGTTCTCCTTGCAGAGATCTTTGAACTCCTTTGTTAAGTATATGCCTCGGTATTTTATTTTCTTTGTAACTATTGTGAATGGTATTGAGTCCTCGATTTGACTCTCTGCTTGACTGTTATTAGTACATAGAAATGGTACTGATATATGTACATTGATTTTGTAACCTGAGACTTTGTTGAATTTATTTATCATTTACAGGAGTCTTTTGGTGGAGTCTTTAGGGTTTTCTAGATACAAGAAAATATCTTGTATATTGCTGAGATCATCAGCAAACAGGAATAGTTTGATCTCCTCTTTCCCAATTTGGGTGCCATTTATTTCTTTCTTTTGCCTGATTTCTCTGGCTAGGACTTCCAGTACTAGGTTGAATAGAAGTGGTGACAGTTGGCACCCTTGTCTTGTTCCAGTTCTTAGGGGGAATGCTTTCAACTTTTGCCCATTCACTATGATGTTGGCTATGGGTTATATCTTTCCTAGTATTGTTTACTTGTGCCTTCTCTCCTCTTTCTTTACCATTCACACCAAATGTTTGTCTATTTAGTCTATTTAATAGAGCACTT